CCACCCCTATTTCCCAGCTCTGCCCTTTAGCTGTAGGAAGCTGAAATTGAGGATAAAAACAAAAACATCAAGCCCCCAGATGCACCGTGCTTTGAAACCCATTTGACATAGTGGCCAAACCGTGGAATTACAATTTCCAAATCCGTCCTGCGATGAATACTGCCCCAAAAGACGATTTTTTTCCATTGACGCACATTGTGAAAGAAGCACCTGTAAAATAGTGGATAATGTTTTTGTGTCACAACTAGGGCTGAACGATTAATTGCATTTGCGATATTATTGCGATGTGATAAAACGAGATTTTCTAATCGCCAAGGCTGCAATTACACTCTGGTCACATGACACGCATTAATTGCTGGTTGAACTGTGGGTTTAGGGTTAGACGATGCCATCGGCAATGGTTGACAGACATCACGGCGTTGAGCCGGCATCGTGATTGTAAAACCCCCGCCCCCCAGCACAGAAAAAAATCTCAAATTTTAACATTATACCACGCTGTGAAAGCAGTTTTTAATGACCACAAACATTTTTATTATTGTTTTTAAGTATGCTTTGCCCCTGCCTCGGAATTCTCTTCTCCCCACACTGACACACTCACACACACCTACACCTCAGGTAAACACCCGGCTTGCCCCGCCTCTCTCTCCCCCGCCGTCTGCTCCATTTTCTCCATCAGCAGTATGTTTTATAAAGTCGCCTTAAAGACAGAGAACAAGTCATTTTTCCGTATATTTCCACCTGTGATCTGTTATCGCGGCAGCAGGTGAGCCGCACGTCAGCAGATTGCAGATCTGCACCCTGTGTGTTGTGGGTTTTGTATTGAGCGCTTACTGATGACCTGATGATATATCATTATTTAATGCCATGACTTGAATCTCAAATTATCTTTCTCATTATTATAATTTGATACTACTTCTCCACCATTGCTCAGAATAATAATAATTCATGCATCACCTAATTTCATCCCAACACAGGCCTGACTCACAAGAAAGAACAGTATATGTTTAATCTATCTAATAATGTGTTGGTCATACTATACACTGATTTACTGCTTTTCCGTTTTGAATAATACAGGAGGTAAAGAGCTTAAAAACTTAATCGCATATTCAATCGCAATATTTTTTTTAAAAAATCGCAATTTTCCAAAATCGTTCAGCCCTATTCACAACCCCTGCAAAGTTGTCCGTTTCTCTGTTACAATTTGATCCATTCGGTCCGATAACATTTGGAAAGTCTAGGAGAACTGCATGATTTTATCCGCACTCTGTTAGCATGGCGTTAATCCGGATGTCAGCAGGAAGTATCTGGTGCACTTGCTCTGTGGGCCAAAATCATGGCCTTGGGAGGTGGGGTTAAAAGGAAATACTTGTGTGCTTGCTCCTGTGGACATTGATTTTTTTGTTTTTTGTGTCCTACAGATTAAGTATGTAGTTGCAGGAAAAAGTGATCAGATCTTCATCTCAAGTCAAAGCACAGCAGTCTGCTTAAACTAATACCACATTAGGCCTGTCCCCAACTAAGGATTTAGATAGTCAAATTAGGCAGTACTTGACAAATTTATAGTCGACTGATTGTTGAATCATACGTGTGTTTGTGCAGCGGCGACGGCGTTACACACTGCCATTCACTTTTCCATACTTCACCAGTCTTATGCCAAGTTCTATGTGCATGCCGTGTGGCCGACAATTGTGTGTATGTCGCGGTTCATCGCAGATCTATTCCAAGTAGACTACTTATTATACTGCATTTCCCGTCCTAAATTGTAGTTCTGTGACCATTGGGCAGCTTTGAAGATGATTCAAAGTATATAAAAAAAAAAAAAAAAAAAGATTTCTATCTTATACTTGCCCTTCAGATAGGCCTTCATTACAGCCTCTGTCTGAAACAAGCTGTAGATGCTTCATTTCAGCAGTATTCTTGGGATGTCAGGTGGGAATCGCTCTCTTGAGGTCATGCCACAGCATCTCAGTCGGGTTCAGGCCAGGACTCTGACTGGGCCAATCTAAAAGTTGTATTTTCCTCTGCTGAAGCCATTCTGTTGTAGATTGACTTCTGTGCTTTGGATTGTTGAACTGTTGCATCACCAATCTTCTGTTCACCTTCAATTGGCAGACAGATGGCCTTGCATTCAGCCTGCAAAATTTCATGATAAACTCTGGAATTAATTTTTCCATCGATTATAGCAACCCTTCCAGGCCCTGAGGCAATGAAGCAGTCCCAAACCATGATTCCCCCTTCACCATACTTCCCAGTGCTGTGGAACATCCAGGAGCTCTTTTGCAAACTTCAGAAGTGCAGCAATGTGTTGGACAGCAATGGCTTCATCCGTGGTGTCTCCCCATGAACTTCACTCTTGTTCAGTATCGTTAGTTAACACTCCAGCCAGTCAGTTTTTGGTTGTCATGGGACTGTATTGCGTCCGACTATTAACCACCCCCCATTCTGTTAGTTCACCAAAAATGGCAGTTAAAACTGGCTGCAGGGGGGCTTTAAGCAGACTGTTTGTCTATTGTTGTGAATTAGATGAAGATCAGATCACATTTTATGTCCAATTTATGCAGAAATCCAGGTAATTCCAAAGGGAACATACTTTTCCCTGCGACAGTAAAAGGAGGAGTGTAGTATAGAGATAGCGAACTGTGTTTATAGGTTTCATTTCAAGATCAGTGATGTTCGTGGTCATAATGTGCTGTCATGGGAAACCATGTGAGGAGAGAAGAAATGAGGAAGTATGTTTTTAGAGAAATAAGACGCCCTTTCCTCTGAAGCTTCACATGAAGTGATGTCTGTTTCTGATGACTGGCCTCAGTCTTGAGTCATCAGTTTTGATTGTGTCTGCACATTGTGTGTGTGTGTGTGTGTGTGTACTGTGCTGATACTAATAAAGATTCACAGTTATCACTGCAGAGCAGCAGGATCATTTCTACGGGCAGACTGCCTTTATATCATCATTTATTCATTACCTGCATCTGCATTTATTGATATTCATTATTGAATAACCCAGAACATGATCATGGTGTTTTTTTGACATGGTCATTTTCTGTGACTTAAATTTTATCCATACTAAAAGTTAATGGGGGAAATAACAGATCTTGAAAGAAAATTGTTTCTAATAAATTAGGGTTGGGCGATGGCATCGGGGGCGCACGCGGGAGGGGGATAGCAGCCGTCTCATGTGCATGTGTTCACTTGCACAAAATCTTGGTAGCCTATGACATTACAAGTCGCTGTGGAAATTTTACAAGCAGGGACCAGGTAAAGCAGAATTGAACACACAGGGTGCAGATGTTGGTTTCAGTTGTTTGATAGGCTGTGCTCACCTGCTGCCATGATAACTGATCACGGGTGGGAAAATACGGGAGAAAGACGACTTCTGTGTCTTTTTATGTGGCGTTATAGGGGGGGAGACAGAGAGAGGCGGGTCAAGCCAGTGTTTTTATCTGAGGTGTAGGCCTCTTGTGTGTCTGAGTGTGGGGAGAAGAGAATTCCGAGGAAGGTGCGAAGCATATTTAAATTATTTTAATAACAATGTTCGTGGTGATTAAAACCTGCTTTCACATGGCGGTATTATGTGAAAAATCTAGATTTTTTTTTACCGGGGGGCGGGGTTTTACGATCACAATGCCTGCACAACCATCGACCATCTGTCAGCCATCGCCAATGGACGATGGCATCGTCTATCGTCCCAACCCTATAATAAATGAAGAAAGATGTTTAGTCTAATCTTTAACCGGAGTATTTGCTGATTAATTCAATACCCGATATGTTGTGATCCACTTAAGATAGGCCAATGCCAGATGAATAAATCCCTGTTTTTGTCATCTTCACCAGGAGGTACAATCAAGTGAGATTCTTTGTTTGGGAGGGAGAGGAACGTGGGTACGGGTTTTATTTTGGTTGGAATGTTACAACAAAATTTTCTAAAGTAAATTGAAATGTCAAAGTTTGGACTTATTGTGCCGTGTGTTGTATCCTTATTAGGCTTATACAGTTAGGTGAACCCAGGATGCTTGGCTACAATACTATTACACTTTTATGCATCTTAAAGAAAACTTAGACTATACTATAGATACTATAGAAAAACACTGCATACATCTAGATAAGCAAACTTGCACTGCAATCCCTGTCCCCACACCCAACTGCCCCCACCTACACTTGGTGGAGGCAGGCTTGATGGGACCGTGTGAGTTAATTTTGCAGGCAAATGCCACTAATGAAGAATGCTGCAGCAATTTACGAAGCACCATTGTCATAGGTTTTTTATGAAAGTTTTTATTACTATCGCTAGTGTTTATTGCAATTTGAATTGATACGATTAATAAATATAATATTTTTATAGAAGGAAATCAATACTTGTTAATATTTAAGAGAGGTAAATTAGTTAATGTCTTTCATATGCTCTCCTATCTCTAAAGATACATGAGAGTATCTAGTATCTAAGAATAATTGGCAGTGTAGTCTAGGGTTGGGTGATGTCTACAAAATTTCCATCGGACAATGTCTACATTGAAACATTGGGACAGCGGTCGTCTTATGTGCATGTGTTCACTCGGTGTGTCCACCTAGGCTACTATCTGTAAAGCATAGGCAAGGCAAGTTTGTATTGCACATTTCAACAACAAGGTGCTATACATCAAACACAAAAGCAACTTCAGGCTAAAAAAAATAAGTTAAATTAATTTTTTTTTAAATATCTGATTTTCATATTCTTACCCTTTATGCAAATCTGAAGCTTTCTGTCCATCTTTTTAGCTGAATGAATGAATGAATCTTTTGGGAAACTGGTCGTTCGTTATCAAGATGATCTTTCAAGTGTTGTTCGTGGGGACATTTCAGACAGATTCTGGTACCAGTGGAAAGGTCAAAATCATAAAGACGTATCCTCACGGGACCATGGACCATTGTCTGTGTTTTGATTGCTGTTTTCGTTTGCTGGTTCCTCAGTATTGTGTGTCCACTATTTGTCTTAATCACAGCCTCTTTCTCTGTTCTCTTTTCAGATGTTTCCAGCAATGTTGAGTTGTCTCATGAATGTCTCATGAAAGTGGAGGGAAAGCCAGTCCAAGCAAGTCAGTACAAACGCTCTTTCTCCGACTACATTTTTTAGTCCCTTTATATTTTAATAAGGTAAACAAAAATTAGCTTTACTTTACTCTACTACTTTTTGTCGTTATACAACCCTGTGTTAAATGATAAATAGATCTACCATGTACCTTGAAGCAGCTTTCTCCAGGGGACATCCAGCTGAAAAAATTAGGTTTCACACACAATTAAACGATACCACGGCAAAAATCTAAAACATCAGGAACAGTAATGAATAAATAAACAGTATCCAATAAAAAAATAAAAATATCCCAGCTACTGTACAACAGAGCCTGTTCTCATTAATTGTCCATTTTTAAATCTAAAATGACTAAATGGAAAACAAGAAAATAGGCTCACTATCAATTTTATTTATGTAGCACAACCAAGGTTAGCCAAGATGCTTTGCAGGTTAAAATTTCAACAATAAAACAGTAAATATACAGTAAAAGTACCGCAATAACACATTATAACATACAGTATATGATATAAAGTGATATTAAAATCACCAGGGATAGTAACTGACTTAACTCGAAGGAAATGCTAAAGTTTTTAACAGTGATTTAAAGGATTCGAGAGTTGGGGCGGATCTGAAATGGACTAGCTGGTTGTTAGGGGCAGCTACACCAAAGTCTCGCCCCTGGTTTTAAGTCTGCTTCTGGGTACATCTAGGAAGAGGAGATTGGTAGATCTCAGCACTCTAGCTGGATGGAGTGTTAGGCAAAGCGGAACTAGTCCATTAAGGCATTTAAAAGGTAAAAGTAAGATTTTAAAATCAATTCCGTAACGAACAGGAAGCCAGTGGAGAGGGCACAACACAGGTGTGGCGTAGTCCCTCTTTTCCTTTCCAGTCAGGAGGCTGGCAGCAGCATTTTGGAAAAACTGCAGGCATTGAATGGATGACGGGTCTAAGCCCACATATAAAGAGAAACGGGAAGTTATGAAGTCATTAATCAGCCTCTCTAAATCTTTAGGAGGGAGATGGCCCTTTACCTTGGTTATAGTTCTCAACTGGAAAAAGCAAGATCTAACAGTGGCAGATACATGTTTATCAAATTTAAACACACTGTCCAATCCAGCACCAAGTTGAGCAATTATTTGAACTTAAAGGACCGAGCGAATCTACATCAGGCATTTCAGGATGTCCAAACACTATGATCTCTGTTTTGTCTCCGTTTTTAGGTTGAGGAAGTTTAGGTTCATCCATGTTTTGATGTCCATACAGTCAAGCAGGGGCTGCAGTGAGCCCTTTGTTTTAACATTCAGGGGCAAATAAATTTCTGTATCATCTGCAAAACAGTGGAAAGAGACCTCGTACTTCTGAAAAATGTAGGCCAGGGGCAGCAAATATAAAGAAAATAAAGTTTGACACCAGACTGGAACTTTTCATAAGCATTATGATTAATTAAAAATGTTTACAGCTGGGTAAAAACTACTTTCTCCAAGACTTTAGATAAGAGAGACAGTTTAGAGATGGGCCTGAAGTTAGAAAGAACAGAGTGTCGTGATTTTCCTTTAACAGGGGCTGCACAACTGCCTGTTTAAAGGCAGCTGGAACTTAACCAGAGACAAGACAGGTGTTTATCAATGACTAAATACATGGTCCAGTGGTGTCAAAGACTTCCCTAATCAGGCGAGAGGGAATGCTGTCTGAGGGACAATTTGTGGCCATGTGACAGTTGTTGGAGATCAGGTTAGAAATAAAATCAGATTTAGCACATTTTACAGCTCTCTGGTATTCAGACAGATATTGCTGTAAGGTTTCATATGACACTCTGTTCATCTTTCTTCCACCTTCTCTCAGCTTGCCGACATGCCCGTCTGAGGGCACGAGTGGAGTCATTTAGCCAGGGCTGCGAAAGTGCTTTAGTGCGTTTTATCCTCAGAGGAGCTACAGAGTCCAAGATGTTTGTCCAGGTTGAATTGAAGAGAGTAATAAGATCATCAGCACTAGGAGCATCACCTCCATCCAACTTATAGAGCTCAGAGTCTTTAAAAATGGCAGAGAACTGTGCCGGGGTTTGACTGTTAATTACACGACAGCAACGTGCAAGAGGACACTTGACCACAGAGCACGGGACTGTAATCATAAATAAAACAGGAAAGTGATCTGAAATACCAACGTTACTGAGCCTCGAGCTCCTCCGATGAGGTTTGAGTCACGTGTGTTCAGTCTACTTTAGTGCACTACTGTAGTGAGCAGGCTAATGAATTATGAGATGATGAAGCTCAAACCCAGGATTCTTAGTAATAATCTTCTTCACCATGGCCACCATTAATTAATGTCATTAATGTGTTCATCCTAAATAAAGTTTATTTCTGATGACAAGTAAGTGTGACTTTGACAGTGAATTAGTACGTTAATAATTGGATTACTGTAGTAAGTAAGTAAGTAGTACCAGGTCATTGTGAATAAGCTTTTACATGGTATGTAGTAATTTGAAGTCCCTTATTGATTTAATGTGATTTCTTTGATAGTTTTTATATTTATAACTTTATATTTGTGTCCAGAGATCCTTATTAAACAGTGTCATGACTCAATACACCTCCTGGGAAGAGGTCTCCGCTCTACTGAGTGCAGCTACTAATAGAAATAAATGACGAGAATGTACATATCATGGGTCTTTATTTTATGATCGCTATAACCAGTACTGATTTGAGTATAAATGTATAACTTAAAATTGCTGTTGTTGATCGCCTGATTTTAGCAGCTTGCGACCTTTATGGTAAAGTTAACGATACCAGTGTGAACGCTGCGTTTGCATATAGAGATGTTTGCCACATTGATAAGTTAGCTGATATAACCTTGAAACTCTATGGAGGTGGTTAAGCTTGTGGAATTTTTGAAGCACTAATTAATTTATTAATATAACACCCACTGAAGTGTAAAGCAAGAAAGTATTAACGTTCCAGTGCTTTCCATCCTCTGCGGTTGACTTGTCTAATAGCGCCTTTTTTGCGATATTTGAACTGGCCATGATTATTTTTGCACAAATGTTAATTACTATTCGTAATACATACACACACGTCAAACAGTGATGGAGAAGAGAAACTGAAAAGTAAGCATTGTGACTGTGAAGATTTTTGATTCATACAAAGAACTGTCAGGACAGCAGAAACAACAAGTACTAATTGAAATAGCGTGAAGCTTATTTCAGGGCTTGTTTTGGAGTTAGCTTTGATGACCAGGTTCCAAAAGTAGCTAATAGGTGTGAAAGCATGAGTCAGTCTGAGATTGTGATCAGCTCTGTCTGAACAGTTGCCATTTTCTTCTTATAAATCTAATTTTCAATGGACCCATTACTCATTGGCTCCATTTAGAATGACCTTTGAATAGAAAGCTTTTTTGTATCAGAGCTGGTTTAAAGGTTACTTTTATTGAGTTTCTCCTGTTCCTCTGAATGTTTAAGGCAGCACATTATGACCACCAACATCACCGCTGTTCAAGTGAAACCTGTAAACACAGTTCAGTATCCTTGTACTACACTCCTTCTTTGCACGTGCTGTGTAGCCATCTTCTCCTGTTAGGAGTACACATGGGATTTACCCCAGGCTACCTCAGTATTAATTACAGCCCCACATACTTGTTTTGTTGGTTCGCTACTGATTGAGGTCCCATCTGGACAGACCTCTACACAGGTCTGTTATTGAAATTCAAGGCTGTGTGTGTTTCCTCACAAGCTGTAATGAAACTTTCACCACAGGCAGAGGTGAAGCTGACCTGGAAACAGGTCTGGACAGGTAATGTGGCATACTGGGCATTTGACTGGTGGGCCGACGCACTTTGGGGCAGATATGCTTTTAAATTATTTACTAATCAATTTAAAAAATAAATAAATAAAAGAAAGAAATGGGCTAATGAATGGCCCCTCTCCCTCAACATCTACCCTCTGTATTTTCCTTTCAGAAGCCAAGGTTCGGAGCCAAAAATCTGTGAAGAGATTAAGGCATCAAAATGGATAATCCAAAGCGCAATGGGGGTTGCAGAGAAGTTGCATGCCAAAAAAAAAACTTGTTCCTAGTATGCCATTGTTGAAACTATAGTTTTGTCAGGGATTTGACAACTACTTGAGTATGAGTTGTGTATTCCGTGGTCTCTGATCACCAGTGAGTCCCAAAGGCTACGTTCAGACTGCAGGCCAAAGTGATGGGCAAAAAATCATCAGGTTATGGGTAGGGATATTTTGCCCATATCTATCTCAAATCTGATCTTTTTCTAACAGTGTGAACAGGCCAAATCACATGGAATCTGATCTTTTCCAGTTCGGATTTGGGCCACTTTTTAAATGTGACCTGAGTCTGGACACTCAGAGGAATTAACACATGATAACACAGGATTAAACATGTGGATCTCTTTCTTCTCTACCTTGCTATTATCTGCCCACAACTTCCCTTTCTTACACATGAAATCCACAGGACCGCAAGCTCTTTTCTGAGTTACGTACATGCTACTTGTCCAAGTGAACGCAGTATAACGAGAGAGAGAGGGACGGAGTGATTGTGGGGCAGTTGCGTTGTACAGCGGGAGAAACTGTAATGAAAAGATCAGAAAGTTGTGCATATAGGTTTACAAAGTGAAAAAGCCCAAAGTCCCTTGTTCCCATCTCCCACAGAAAACTCTGCTCTGAACTGCCTGAAAACAGCTCGTTTGTAGTCCAGCCTTTACTTCCCTTTCTTGTGATGTCACAGCACACAGCTCTCCTCTCCAAACACTAGCTACCCTCCAGGCAGTCAGTGGACATAAAGTTGTTCCTGTGATGTAGAGACAGAGCTCAGTTAAAACTTTATGGATGAAAGATACTTTTTTTTACAGATTAATAACTCACCACTCTGAAACTCTTGCTCTAGTCCATGTTGCTAAGCTGGTCGGCAACATGTACAGCTGAACCGAAGCTGTTGACCGTCTTTTTGCTGACCCGCCTTTCTCTGCTTCTGATTGGCTAGTAGTCCTTAACTAGGAACTGCGAATGTGCAACTCCCAACAAAGATCATTTAGAGACCAGATGCATCACTCCATAGCTAAAACGAAGCCTTCAACACAGGGTGAAAAAAGGAGCTGCAGCAATGTGGAGTAGGGGGGTGTATTTTGAAAATGTAATGTAAACCTGTTCTGGTACAACCCCTAAATAGGATTTTGAACCTGAAAGTGAGCATAATACCACCTCTTTCCCCTGTGCTGGAGTTATTTTATGAACGTGATGGCTTTATCCAGTTTGTTATTAAATTTGTAACAATCTTTATCTCGTGTCTCTTCATTATACTCCACACAAAAAAGCTGTTTTTAATGGTCAAGCAAAGCCTATAGTTTTTCATTATATTCCAATCAAATCTGATGTTGCTCATGGATAGTGGTTACAAATGATGCCTGTGCAACGCTTTGTACGCCGTATAGGCCTACAGCCTATGCCAGCTGGTTTATTTTGCCTAATCTTCACAGGTCTTTAGACCACAGTGGAAACGCACACAACAATGGGCTGAAGGAACCTTTTAGTTCCTTGAAAAGAGATCCTGGGCCTTAAAAGTCCTGGGTACTTTTGGTCGAAACACGGCTAATTAAAAATAAACAAAAAGACGGAAGGTGGATCTGTCATGTTATGAGTGTTGTCTTGAATAGTTTGTCCATCAGATGGCACTCCCCTGTTGTATGGAACGCCACAAATGCTCACAAAACACAGCAGCTGAAATAATCAGCTGCACTTTTTTGAGTACTATTTGTAACAATAAGAAAAGTAAATTTTTAAACACGTTATGTTAAGTTATCTTGGTTTCATTACGACACATAACAAATATTAGGGATAGTCTTTTGTTTATGTTTTTTCCGATATATTGGAATTTCAGATTTTAAAATCCTCAAATATCACAATCTGTATCAGTCTTAAAAGTCCCATATCAGAAGAGCTCTACCGCCCACACGCATGGTCACTATAAACAGGCAGCACATTCTTCATCTCTTATTTATACCAGAATTAAAGTGGTTGTTGAACTTCCTCTGGGTCATTTTGAGGGCAATTGTGGTTTCCTGATATCATAATATATTACAAAACAAAATTGTATAATGAATAAATGGTAATGTAATAACATGGGTCCTGCTGATGTGGTGTATTTTTTGTGTGATTTGCATGTTTGGATTTCACAGGGTGGGCACTTAATAATACTATCGATAAGAGAGAGAGAGGGTTGTAATGCATTTATTGTGTTTGTTGATCAGGTGATGTCATGGATCACTTTGACCAAATGTGAAAGCTGGATCCATGTGCTGAGTTCTCATAGTGAGGATAGTGGGAAACAAGCCGAAGTTCAATGACTCTCATGCTAAAAGTTCAGTTTAGATCACACAAATGAACCACTACGTCTGTCAAGTCCCCATGGTCCCGACATTTGGAAGATATTTACGTGACTTATTATTATATTCAAAGTGATCATGTCTTAATGGCTGGATCATAAACATTTTGTTATGTCAGGCATATTTAATTTATATTTCACATGTTTATTGAGATTTTGTTCTGTAGTTTCCGCATAAATATTTATCAACTAATAATCTCTGATTTTTAGTCCTAGATTGATTTTTATGAGATTGCTCATACTACTGTTTTTGTGGACCAGGAGTTTAATGTCCATCTAAGCCTTGAAGCGCTCCAGATGTCTGTCAGCTATCTATGCAGATGTGACACTGTCTTCAGGACAGCCCAAATATCTTTTCCTAATCCAAAACTCCACTATATAAGGGATAAGGTCTCACTTGTCTTCATTGTATGTTGACAGTTCGTGTTTTGCTGAAACCATATGAAACTCTTGGATTTGTTATTTAAAATAAACAGAGCTAAAGATTAATGACGACTTGTTTTTTTCACTCTTTCTCTTCTCCTTTCCTATGTCCTCTTCTTGTCCCTTTCCTGCAGGGGTCTTCCAGATTTGGATCAGAAGGTTTTCAGATCTGCAGTGTTTTCCAGGTGAGACTATAATAAATTAGCCCTTTCTCTAGAGCAATGGTTCTCAAACTGGGGGCTTTGAGCCACTTCGGGGGGCGGGTCGTGGATGTTGAGCGGACCTAAATGATTCATGTCATGACATAAATAAACAAGTGCTCTGATGGTAGCAAGACTATTTTACTAAACCTGAATCTTGTTTATTTCAATTGCCTGTATTCTTAATGATTGATATAAATGAAATCCACTTTTGCTGGGGTGGGTTATGAGTGTTTTTGGCTTCTGAAGGGGGGGGTGAGACTGAAAAAGTTTGAGAACCACTGCTCTAGAGGCAGAAGCATTTATTTTCTTTGGGGTTTTGGTGGAGCATTTCTTTAACATCAGAATGGTACAGAACCACTATAAGAACTGCATATTGATATGAAACATACGTTTCCTTCCTCTTGTCCTTCTGTACCCCCACATTTGGTCCTTGTCCTCTCTTCTTTCTCCCTCCCACCCTTCTCTGTCTCATCCTATAGGTGTCTCTTTCTGGGATGTCCAGGGTAGGTGGCCTGAGGGGGTTTATCCCCATAGCACAGACCACCAGCACGGACACTCCCTATGCTGAGAGACTACACAGGAATCTACAGATGGACACATTCACATGTAGAGACACCTGCACGGCTGCTTGAAAGACAGAACTGACCAAGCAGCAAACAGCTTAGGCTGAACTTTGAACTTAAAATTCGGGACCCATCTGGTCCTCAGACCAGACAGAGATTACCTGTGTTGGCCTTTGACATTTCCATCCTTTAAATAATCATCTAGTTTCCCCGGTCTCCTGCTTTCCATTTAGTCCTCTGGGAGTGTTTTGTTGTGCTGCAGAGCTAGTAATGGAGAGTAGGTAATGGATGATGCTGGCCATGGTGACCTAGTGTAAATGGCTGTTCCCCAGCACAGCTCAGTGCCAGTATCTACTGCTCGATCTTCCGCCTCCACTCCCCCCTCCTCTCATCCCTACTCCACCTCTCTGCTCTCCTTCCCTGTTCACCGCCGCTGCTTGCTGCCCAGTCCTGCCTCCCCCCTCCAACACCATGGTAGGTGCAGGCTTGGGTGTGTGGAAGTTAATGCGAGGTGTCCGCCAGCTGGAGCTTCACCGCCTCATCCTGGCACTTATCATCTTTTGCTTGCTGTCCATGGCCTTCCTAGCTTACTACGTCTCCAACAGCCCCAAAATCAAGGAGGCCCCCCCTTTACCCTTTAGTGACTGTGGTGGAGGAGGGGGGGTGTCACCAGGAGAGAGTACTGGGGCAGCCGGGGGAGAGCCAGGTGTCCAGAGGGCACCACTTTTCCTTCCCCCGCGCCAGGGCCGACTAAGGCAGGTAAAAGCTATGGACAATTCCAGGACACAGCCCGTAGTTCTGGTGTTTGTTGAAAGCATCTACTCCCAGCTGGGCCAGGAGATTGTAGCCATATTAGAGTCTAGTCGCTTCCACTACCGGACTGAGATTGCTCCTGGTAAAGGTGACATGCCCACATTGACGGAGCATAACCGTGGACGCTACACACTGATCATCTATGAAAATGTGTTGAAATATGTCAATCTGGATGCATGGAATCGTGACTTGCTGGACAAGTACTGTGCTGAGTATGGAGTAGGTGTCATTGGCTTCTTCAAAGCTAATGAAAACTCTCTTCTCAGTGCACAGCTTAAAGGTTTCCCCCTCTTTCTACACTCACACCTGGGACTCAGGGACTACCGCATAAACCCCAATGCTCCTCTGCTCTACATCACCAAGCCCAACCAGGTGGAGCAGGGATCTTTACCAGGGGATGACTGGACCATTTTCCAGTCCAACCACTCTACTTATGAACCAGTGCTTCTAGCAAGCACCAAGTCCTCAGAGGCACTGGCACATTTTGGACCCAGCCCCCTGCGGGCCCTTCATGCCACAGTGGTCCAGGACTTAGGGCTCCATGATGGCATTCAAAGAGTTCTCTTTGGAAATAATCTCAACTATTGGCTTCACAAGCTGGTGTTTGTAGACGCCATTGCCTACCTGACGGGGAAGAGACTGTGTTTGTCGTTGGACCGCCACATCCTCGTGGATGTGGATGATATATTTGTTGGCAAGGAGGGAACCCGTATGAAGGTGTCAGATGTGGAGGTGGGTGAGCTTTGTCATCTATAGTCACACAAGAGACCACAAATAATCAGACACTAACTTAGTTTCCTCTCCCATTGCACAGTGGTTGATTTTGAGGTGTTGAGTTTTTAGGATGTCGATGTGCAATGACTATTGTTGAGTAATTAATATGAAGCAAAAAGTATAACTGATACCCTTACTGGATTCCACCGGGGCCCCCAGAGCGGATTGCGGCCATTCTTGACAATGCTTTTGATTCCACCAGATGCTCCGCAGGGTATTTCAGAAGCAGCTCTCCACTCTGCTCTGCTGAGAATATGCTGCTAGTTTGTCAAGCTGCACAGAGCAGATCAAACTGGGCAGGAGGTCAGACATGGGAACGGCAAAAAGAAGCTATTCAGTTTTCAAAAGAAAACACCCTGTGCAGATTCATCATCATATCAACAATAAACACAATTAAAACTGACAACAAAAAGAAACCATTTAATAATGTAGTCTACTTACCCATGGCAGAAGCATAAAAATAAAATAAAACTTACTCAGATTTTGTTGATTTGGTAAGTTAGCCAAATCAAAGTAGCAAAATGCTCTGCTTCTGACCCCTTTTGGGTATGAAGCTCTGCCGAGGACATAACAAAACTGGGTCCCAGACGCAACTTTACAGAGCCGTCCCCGGTGGAATCCAGACATTAAAGCAACCATAATCATTATTTCAATAATAAAAAAGAGATGTGAAAACAAGGAGTGTACAACAGTGTTTCCCACAGGCTTTTGTGAGACTGTGGAGGGTGGACCTCTGACCCCCTGGGGTTGCACAACACAGGTTGTTTTCCACTTTACAAGAATAACAAATATGGTCACTGATGTAGGCCTAAGTGTGATTTCCTGAAGTAATCTTTCACATTTTTGTGAATGATCGCACTGTATGCCATAAGAATCACAAAATAACATTGGTTAAAACAAGGCTTATAATGAAGGGATTTGATTTGAGATTTGTTCATCCTCACAAAGTCCTTGTGAAGTCACTAACCAGCTATAGGTGTGGGTATCTTTATCCAGCCTCTTATCGGCCCGGTACTTTTTTAATACTTTTAGAGTTTTTTGTTTTTTATAACTGAAGAATCTTTTTTTAATTGTGATTTTCAAAAAAAGAATTGGGAGCCCTATAAGGAGTTTCAACTCATTGTTTAGCTGTCCTAGCCACAAAACAAACTATTTTGGTTCTCCCTCACTGCTCTCATAGCAGGTTTAAAGAACCATAGCAGTGGTTTTGCATGTTTAAGCCAAATAACTACTCACTGCTCATCCTTTTGTTAACGCCAGTCATTTCCAAATTCATGCAGCCATATTTAAGCTTCAAAAATATTTTGAAAATGTTTAAATGTTATACACCCTCAAACATATGCATTTATAACTCATGGGTGTAGTGATTTAGCTCGTTAAACAATATATACATATAAAGTACTGTACAAAGGTATGTGTGTTAAAGTGATGCTGTTTTGGTGGTCACGATAAATATTGATTTGATTTAGATTTTTGTTCCTTTTACTCAGTTGATAAATATAATCTATTAACATGTCTATTTCTGAAAGCATTCTTACTTGACAGCACACCTGCCTAAAACTTTTTGCACATTATATTGCTTCTGTGTACTTCTGTGTTGGATCGACCATTAAATACAATGGCCCGAATGTAATTTTTTGAGCTTTGAAACTTCAATTGTAATTAACAGCGAATAATCGAAGCTTCACCGGCTGTGCGTGGGGGATAAGCAGGCTGTCATTTCACAAGCTATAGCCATCTATTTAATAGATAGAAGCAGAACAGCAGAATGGATAAATGCCCAAGAAGTTCTGGCAATGACATGAGCGCAGGAGAATCTGATGGGGGAGAGAGAACGGCGAGTGCGTTCGCATGAGTGTGTGAAAGAGAGGAGAGCACTCCATTTCTTTATTCTCATAGTGTAGGCTAACTAAAACAGCAAGTCATTATTACCAAAACTTTATTTTTAACTTGGTTACAGCTTGGCTAGTAGACCCGAGTGCAGGACTTAGAGAGGGAGGAGTTAGATAAATGAGTAACATTTATTCCAGGGTTGAAGGGATTTGATATTGAGCCGGAAGAGTGAGGTAGACTGGAAAGTTTGGGTGAGTGCTGAACCGGGTTGGTAGCTGCTCTGCTGAGCAGGGGGAACAGTAGCTGAGAGTCCAGACTGTGAGATAAATGGGAATAGTTTAGCCGGCCTAATTATTTAAATGTTTCACTATGTTTGTTGTAGTCTACAGTTTAATGATTACATTTAAAATGTAGGTTATTAAACTGTGTTAATCTGTAATGAAAATTATTAATTAAAATGAATAAACACCATAACTGCCACACTGCAGTTGGCATAACTCAATTTAAAGTTCACTGCTGTGAGCAGAGGTCAGGCGTGTGAGAGAGAAAAACCTCTATTCGAATCCCAAAATTGAGAATGGAATGTGTACCCACTGATCGAATATTTGGGTCCAGCCCTACAGTGACCTATCAAAACGTTTTTACAAAATTCATGTCTGACAATAATTTGTATTCCCTGTTGACTTTCCAAACCTTGTGTGTTGTAAATGCAGTGCTATGTGGCAACTGGAAATGAAGCTCTTGTCAGATCTTCACTTCAGCATGTGAAAGCTATACCAGGAAGGATTCACAGATCACTCTGTGACTCGTGTGTTTCATTATGATGTATTATCAAGCAAGTACTAAAAAATACTGAAACCAGTGGGCTCCTGAAAAGTAAGAAAAACACATCTCAGCTCCACTTGCATGAATTGTCAGTAATGTAAGTTGTAAGCACACAAGGGTTTACTGGGCTTATTGTGCAAAAGCACTGGTATAATCGTTTAAGTATGTGCCTAGAGAGAGGAGGGTGTAGATCAATGACTCATGCTAGAAGTTGTGAGGATTTTTAATTTGGCTTGTGTCAGCCATCTGTGCAAGTAAAAAGCTAGCATTAACATTTATAGCAGTTGTATTTTAATGGCACTCTTGTAGTCTTTTATATTGTTAATTGCTGCACTTAGAAAAGATGTGACAAATTGTCACCACCGAGCCTACATTAGAGGGCTTCACCAACACTGAGTAGAGAAAACAAAGTGTAAGTCTAAAACAGCCCCTGGATATGGCCAAGATAATCAAGAGAGTAGCTGCATTCATTTAGATATGTAGAGTTCTGCCCTTAAGCTGCTGACGATGAAGGAGGTAAACTTTATGTTAATTAAATGCTGGCTTTGAGAATTTTATTTCCAACCCTTCATGCCTTCTCCTTGAACAAAGCATGTAGATGTAGAGTGGTTTGCTTTAGTAATTTAGACCCAGTTAAGCCCAGTTTACACTCCACATTTTTAAGTCCGCTTTGCATGTCGCCAAGCTCACCAACAGTCGGGGCCCATGTTTGGAGACACTTCCTTTTTTTTCTTGAGAGACGAGACAAATGCAATTTGCAAAATATGCCAGGCTGATATAAAGTACACAAGCTAACCTAAAAACTAACTCACCTGAAGCAGTGACATGGTGTGGAGACTTCTGCCTCCCCCTCCCCCTCGGATTCAGCTGTAGTTAGTCCCATCAGAACCGCTAGCCAGACTCGTGAGCAAAGTATTGCAACTTCCTAAAATGTTAAATGTGTGAGGGGTGATAGAAGTGTAACTGTAGACAGAGAACAGGAAAGGAGGACTGATTTAAAGCAAGGCCAGAGTCTGCTTTTATTTTGTGTTTTGTCAGATACATTTTTTGAAAGTCAAAAAGAAGCTGCATCAAAGAGACGCTTGCAGTACTAGAGAAATAAGTGAAGTAATTTAATATTTTAGTTAATTTATTATTAATACAATCAAATAAAATGAAACTCATATCATATTGAATTGCATAGCTTATGCTTATTCTTTTGCATCGTGTCGTATCACATAAAATTGTGTCGAATCGCAATAAAGGGAAAGAAGAAGATGCACTTTATTAATCCTACAAGGGGAAACTGTTTTAACGGTTGTTTATTTTGTTTTAGTATTTTACACACAGGTCTGAAATACACACACATGCACAAACAGGACCTATAGGGACAACACATGGAGATGTCAGAGCGAGGGGGCGGCCACACTGCCAGCAACAGCCCGAGGCTCAATCCAAGGGGCGCAGGTAGTGAGGGTCTGACCCACTGCACACAGCGGAACGTCTTGCTGGAGGGGAGGCCGTGTCTGTAACAAAAGCCTGAATATGGAAATGTGTTAATGCCGGGGGAGGACAGTAGGGGGGGTTAGCGCGTGAATCGATGACCTGAGATGAAACTAGAGAGGGAGATTCCAGGGTGTGTGTGAGTGAAGTGATAACAGTCAGTCACATGGAGAGGACCTCCTGCTGTATATTAGCAGCTCACGGCATTTGTGAGCCCAGGTTGTTTGGATGAAGTCTCTTAAAAATTGGTCCCAAAACAGATTAAATTTGTATAAATAAAACCCACATTGTGGGACCTGTAAGCATACTGAAGCGTGTTGTGCATGCTATGGAGTCTGCTGAAACGACCAGTACCAGTGTGGGACTGGGACCTGAGATAAAAACAGACTTTCTATACTGCTTTAAGAAATTAACAAGATGGTTAAAATCCGATTTGGTCAACTCTGACTGTTGAAGCGCTGTGTCATTTGTTCCCACGTGGTTTAATAGAGGCCAGGAGTGATGGCAGTAAACCCTGGAGCTTTTTTTAGAATGTCAGAGGCAGTGGCACTGGAAAAAAAATTGTGACACATTCCTAGTTATGGAATCACAGACAGTCCGTGTTGAGAGGAGAAATGTGGCAGAGACAGTGTAGAGCCCCTTTTCCACTTGACTCGCCTTGACTTTAGTCGCTTTTTTGGGGTTTTAGGTTGGGCTCTGCCGGGACAAAACGGAACACGTTCAGCATACATATGTGGTTTGGCCAGGTTTTAATTGTCACCCTTCTGATTATTAAAACTTACTGTTGGGTTTTGTTATGCAGGCTCCGTACTGATCTCTAAAATTATTATATAAAATGGAAAATGAAAACATGTTCTTCTGTAAAACAAGTCTGCATAAAGATACCAGTATCAAAAGTATTCATTTAAAGTTCCTGTATATTGATTTATTTTCATCCAGCACTATAAAATGTATTGCATAAAAAATGTTAATTGTTACTACATGTGACTTAGGCCTTGTTGGATCATTGAGGTTACGCAGCAATGGTTTATAATTTGAATTAGAGTTTTGCCGATTGTGATGTCTGTCAGCCATTGTCTATGTTGAGTTGGCATCGTGATTGTCTTGTCTTGGAGACATCGCCCTGCCATAATTTAAACATACTAATACTACTAAGAAATAAAAAATGATGTCATTGAGTGTATTTTTCATCCTTTCACAGGCATTGCTCAACACTCAAAACAAGCTGAGAGCACTGGTTCCTGATTTCACCTTCAACTTGGGATTTTCTGGAAAGTTCTATCACACAGGTATGGAACAGGTGCCATTACTGTATGAACACAGCCATTGAAAGAATCTCTTATAACACAGCTTTGGATCTGTAAAGCAGAAAGTTTTTTTTTTAAATGCATAAATGTGGGCTTTCACCTTTAACACAACAGTCTTTCATGGGTATCTGCAATGTTTAGTATTGTAAGAATGAGTTATTTATTAAACCTTAAATAATTTAATTCAGGGAAACTTTCTGGAAGGCCGTGTTCACACACAGTTCTAAACAATTCACTACACCCTCTCTTAGCTCCACTGGAGCAGTTGGGGGGTTAAGAGCCTTGCTCAAGTGCACCTCAGTGGTAATGAGGGATGAGCAATCACTACTCTTTCACTTTCCCCACCCAAAATGATCCTGCTGGTCAGGGATTCAGGTGGCAACCTTTCAATCACAACCGTGCTTCTCTAACATTTAGGCCCCAAACCTTTCTCTAATAAAACAACAAAAAGTTTTGCTCTTAGTTGAACTCATTAACAAATCAAGGCCATTGTATAATTGTGACCAATACATAGTCTCTGGGTATCTGTCAGTACTGCACACCAGTCTGATAGCAGTACCATCTTTTTCACAGATTTATCTCAGATTAGAGCTGATGGGAATCATTTTATGTAAACTAACATGAGGCAATAAAAAACTGAAAGTGATCACGGAAGCATTCAGATTTACACTGACATTAATTCTGCGTGTTTTCAGGTACTGATGAGGAGGATCGGGGAGATGACATGCTGCTGCAACACAGGATGGACTTCTGGTGGTTTCCTCATATGTGGAGCCACATGCAGCCTCACCTCTTTCACAACGTCAGCGTCTTGGCTGAGCAGATGAGGCTCAACAAGATCTTTGCTCAGGTTAGCAGCACTGGAACACTGCAGACATGGCCAATGTCACAATGCGTTTGCTGCATGATTTGTGTACAGCATTTTTTTTAATTAATTTTTATTTAACCTTTATTTAACCAGATGATCTCATTGAGATTTCAAACCTCTTTTCCAAGAGAGACCTGGCAAAATAGCAGCATATTGACAAAGCACAGTTACAAATAGGAACACGAGCACACGCACAACAACATAGAACAATCAACAAGACCCTTACGATACATAAACAAATGACATTAGACCACTTAAAAGTACAATTATACATACCGTAAGTTTAAAGGATTTAGTTATTTTAAAAGCAGTGACAACAATTTATAGCGTCTACTTCCAAATCTTTCATGCAGTGTTTAAATTCACCAAAAGGCATCAGATTTGCAACTGCAAATCAGTCTGCAATGTGTTCCAGGTGGATGGGGCAGCATAAGTAAAGGCCTTCTTACCAAGCTCTGCATGGACCGTAGGTACAGATACAAGTTACCGGAGCGCAAATTATAGGAACTGATGTAGCATAATATATAAGTGCAAAGATAAGAGGGGAGCATATGTAGCATAGACTTGTAAATAAAAGTGATCCAATGTATGTGCCTCCTCACTGATAATAAGGGCCAGTTTGTCCTTTTTACAAGGTACAATGATTGTGTTGATGCTTTACATCCAGTCACAAACCTCAAAGCACTATGGTAGACAGTATCCAACAACAACATTGTCCAGGCGCCTTTCTATAGAGCAGGTCACCGTAATCGAGTGCAGTGAGACAGGTTGCAGCAACCAATCTTTTCCTGGTTTTCCAAGAAAAACAAGCTTTTTTTAGTTTGAGCTTTTGTACAAGTTTATCAATGTGCAACTTAAAAGAGAGCTGATCATCAGTTAATATACCCAAATATTTGTACAATTGGACTTAAAAATGGAAATGAGCCTGTGGGATGTCTTGATCCAAGTTATGAATATAAATAGTAAATAAAATTGGACATGGGCAGACAGCCTGCGGGCACCTGTCCACTCTGCATAGTCCAGTGACATCACCTCCATTTTTATCAATAATTTTGTTACTTCCACATCTCTGACGTTAGTAGTGTCAGCTCTAAAGAGTGTTCAGATATTTTTTCACATGTTGTTGTGCAATAGACCTGTTTGTATAGACATTTGGAGCAACAGCACTGGCAGAAGTGAAGGTTTTTAGTACTGTGGTTATATCAGCAGGACACACCTGCATATGAGTCGTATCTGCTTCCTTGGCTCTTCTCTCCTGACCATTACCCCCCCTCTTCGCGACCTCTTCATTTGCCCACATCCTGTCCTCTCTGCACAACTTAATCTCTCTAGGAGCATGGCATCCCAACAGATATGGGATATGCGGTGGCTCCGCATCACTCCGGGGTTTACCCTGTTCACAGCCAGCTCTATGAGGCCTGGAAGTCTGTGTGGGGCATCAAGGTGACCAGCACGGAGGAATACCCACATTTGAGGCCAGCGCGATATCGACGTGGCTTCATCCACAATGGGATCCAGGTCAGTCTACAGTTGATTGTCTTGATCGTTACTTGCAATGCAATAATGTACTGGTCTGGGCATTCTTACAGTAAAAAATTGATCAAGTCTGTTGTGTATAGACCGCTTTAATAACTGATGATCTCCTTGTGTGTTTTAGGTGTTGCCCAGGCAGACCTGTGGTCTGTTCACCCATACAATCTTCTATAATGAATATCCTGGAGGCTCAAAGGAGCTGGACAAGAGCATCAGAGGAGGAGAACTCTTCCTCACTGTCCTCCTAAACCCTGTACGAACCCCCACCACCACCCCCATGCACACACCTGAGCTGTAGACGTGAGACTAGGACTGGAGATGCAAAAAGGAGGTCTCGCGACTTGACTTCAGACTTTAAGGCAAAAGGCTGAGGGAGACTTCTTGGTGACCCATAAATGCTGACAAATGCAGTTTCCTCTCGTCATCACTCACTTATTTATGTGCTAGTTCCTGCTTTTAGTTATATAATATTTAAGATTTTTATTCATGTTAGTCATTTGTCTGACTGTTTTATGCCATCTTTAAACAAGAGTGTTGGCGGAGCGGCCGCCTACTATGTGAGAAATTTCCGATAAAATCTTTCTATACAATTTGCTTCTATAAGTACAGCTAATTATAAATGATCTTAGGCTGTTTGAAAAAAATGTAACAAACCTGTGTGTCTTGTAAACACAGCTCATTATACCTATACTGCAAGCTGAGCTTTGTTAGTTCAATTGAATACAGCACAATGTGTCTGAATGCACTCGTCTGTCAGGGCTTTGAATTTAAGCCCTCCATTTTAACTGATCTTTGTAATATTAATAACAAGAAGAGCTGCTTCTGCCTTCTATCCTTATATAAATCTGGATCCTCCTGACATTTAAAATGAAAGCCATGCATGTGGGTCATTGGTTCAGTTGTGTGCCATCAGCATCGCTATAATCACACAGCGCACTACATTGCACTGGAAATATTCAGACATTATAAAAACAATAAGGTTGGTTTAGCATAAAAATATGACTGACCACTTCTTTAAAGTAATTATTTAACTAAAAAGCCAAAGCAGTAATAATTAGAGAGCGCAGTCACATTCAGGAACCAGACTGAGCCTGGTTTTAATGTGACCAAGCAGAGTTGTATTAAGATCATAACCACGAGCAGTGAAACACCACGGACATGGATTTTGACTGTTGTTATGTTGTAATCTTCATACTGTCTTTGATAAACCAGAAAAACTTGCTTTTTGACTTGCAAGTCACGTCTCAAAGACTTGAGATTGGACTGGGCTTGGTTCAAAAGACTGTCTATCAACAACAGCTCTAACAAACACACACACAAAATCACAGACAGGTTGAATTAATCCATGTCTCTTCTCATGCTCAGTCTCACGGATTATTGACTGATTTGTTTGTAATTAAAATGTTTTGTTGTATTGTTTTGCATGTTTAGATGCGTTGCTATATTCTGCTACATTTATGTCTTTGATCATTTGTAGCCAACATGTCTCTCTGTGAAAGCCAACACTACTTTGTGCCCTCTCAATGCAGATCAGTATCTTCATGACCCACCTGTCTAACTATGGCAATGATCGGCTGGGTCTGTACACCTTTGAGTCTTTGGTGAAGTTTGTCCAGTGTTGGACCAACCTCAGGCTGCAGACGTTGCCCCCTGTTCAGCTCGCTGAGAAATACTTCCAGATCTTCCCTGAGGAGAGAGACCCCCTCTGGCAGGTCAGTGTATTGAATTTGTAAGCTAGCTTACTTACTATTGTTTTGCAGACCATTTCTTTTCTTTCTTTGAAGATTAGGAAAATGCTTTGATTAGAATTGAATTAATCACGATTCAATCATCGCAAAAGATAACGTGTTTGTCCTGGCAGGGATGTAAATCATAGTGTTGCATGGACTTGCTTCTTGATGTGATAAATGTGAAAAAAGAAACCTTATTTTTCAGAACCCTTGTCATGACAAGAGACACAAAGATATCTGGTCTAAAGAAAAGACCTGTGACCGACTCCCCAAGTTCCTTGTTATTGGACCACAGAAAACAGGTACCGCACTCTCTCTGTCTCAGGTTTCACCTTGATCTTTGTCTGAATATTTCTCCCTTCATTATTATAAATATCTTGTCTTTACTCAAAGGCACTACAGCGCTCCATTCATTCCTGAGCCTCCACCCAGCAATCACCAGCTCCTTCCCCAGCCCCACCACCTTCGAGGAGGTCCAGTTTTTCAGTGGAGCAAACTATGACAATGGGATTGACTGGTAAAGACAGGACTACCACATACTGTTCACCTTCAGAATGTCCACAGTGCTAAGTCACAGCCTGAACACATTTCTTAAATTTTGATTTTTTTAGAATCTTTTTTTACTTATTTTCTCTAGATGATTATTTCAAGTATATCTTAATACACTACTCGCATGACATATTTACATGTGTTAGGGTAACTGTGGTTAATCATTCCTGCTCATACTGGCCGTGTCATCTTTTTAACACCCCATGTCCCCCATCTTTCACTCACTGTAAAAGGTGTGGGAGAGAATTCACAGTCCAACTTTACAGTCATTTTAATTTAGAATTCCCTCTGTTTGCTGTGGACTGATATTTCCTGGTAGCCACATGCAGGTCTGTTGCCGGGACACTAAACCTACATGCAACTCTCAGGACAAAGATACCCACTAAAGACTAAATTAATAATTATCAACCAAAAATTCCCAACCCCCAAAAATACAAAGACAAAGCGTCAAAATAACAGTGTTCAAGTCCTGGATTGATCCAGGACCTCAGTGTCTTCCAGAGTTTAGTGAAGAACACTGCAGCTGCTGTCAAAGGTGCCTGATCCATTTGATATCAACCAGTCTTTTCTGTAATGTTACAAATTACAGTGATTCAGATAACACCATAAACAATAGCTTTTAAGGCACCAGCTAACTAGTACTAGCAGCACTAGTGTCATTTTCTTTGTGTTCTCCTCAGGTACATGGACTTCTTCCCATTCCCTTCCAATGTCAGCACAGACTTCATGTTTGAAAAGAGTGCCAACTATTTTGACACAGAGGTAGCTCCTAAGAGAGCTGCTGCCCTGCTTCCCAGAGCCAAAATCCTGGCAGTGCTCATCAACCCGTCTGACAGAGCTTACTCCTGGTACCAGGTGAGAATCGTTCCCACATCGCCTGCTCTGCTGGCAAAACTACACACATCCAGAATCCGGGGGGGGTATAAAGGGTCATAGTCTTATTTTCCATGTGTTTATGCATGTGCATTTGCCTGTGAGTGATTGATACAATTCAGCCTTGCAGTCTCCTAACACATACATCTGTACACGCATCCTGCGACTGTGTGACCCAGGTTTCAGCTGCCAGAAGCAGCAGCATTGTTGTTTTATCTGGTTTCGTCCTGATGGTGACGTCAGCCAAAATTTACAACCTGTAACAGAGCGCCTCAATGGACAAAAGACAATACAGCAAAAACAAGAAAGAATAGATAATAGTAGATAATGTGTGTGGACATGTATTACTCATGTTTTGGGGTTAGGCAGTACTATGGAAAAGTTTCAGACAGGTGTGGAAAATATGTGCCGTAAAGTAACAATACTTCAAATCAAAAATCAAATCAAAAGCAGTTAGATAGCGAGTGAATGCTGAACATTTAAGAATTTGGATGATGGAAACACCACTGTGTGTGTGTGTGTGTGTGTGTGTGTGTGTGTGTTAATGACCACAGCACCAAAGGGCGCATCAGGACCCTGCAGCTCTGAACAACACTTTCCATGCCGTGGTGACAGCAGGCCTCTCAGCCCCCAGGGACCTGCTGGCCCTTCAGAGACGCTGCCTTAATCCAGGGGTCTATGCTACTCACCTGGAGCGCTGGTTGCAACACTACCAGCCCAGCCAGGTAACGCACCTCAGCTGATAACACACACTGGAGTAATTGGACATTAGTATGGTACATAACGTGTCAAATTGTAATGGGGTGATATTGTTAATGCTTCACTTCACACAGCATTTTTATGCTCATTTCAAGATATTTGTGGGTTTACGTTATGGATGCATTCCTTGGATTCACAAATAGTTTTCTCCATTGCAAAATGGTTTTAAACTGTCAATGAACTCATTGAAACATCGAGAAGAACAATATCAACATTAGTCAATAATTTAGATAAAGCTAAATTGACATGGGAATGGTGATACATTAAATCAGCCCGTTTCTGAGAAGTCTCCACTAATAACTAGACATAAAACCATCTCTCTTACCAGTGTCCCTGGTGATGCCATTGGTGGTGCTGTGACAGTTGTAATTGTACTTGGAGTGGTAGCCGTTAATAAAGTTACAATGTACTTCACAATCACAACATAAAACGAGAACCAACATAATCAAACGACAGCAGATCTTTTTCTGAAAACCGATAATAACAAATCCTTTAATTTTGTCACCTGTTCTGTTCGGAGATGTCGTGAGACCAGGAAAAACCTAACAATGCAGAGTTATTTTTAAGCAGTCTGTACTTTCACATGTTTAACCTTAAGTGCGTATTGATGGTGACTCTGACAACATTTTACAAGAGCTAAAATATGCCGGCTCACAAACGAATCAAGCTAACTCATGCATAATATTCTGAGGATGGATGGATAACTGCCATTTGCTTTAATGTCTAACATGTCCTTTACTTGTTTGCCCCCTACTGTCCAGTTATAGATATAACACTATAGATGGAAACTGGATGGACAGAAGTTACTTTCCTGATGAACCGGATGGGTTTTGTTGAATACCATTCAGCACAGTAGCAGGTCTTATGCCATTTAAGGATATATTAATGTGAAATGGAAGGAAATCAATCAGAATTAAACTTATAGATATGATCTTAGCAAGCTAATAAAGATGAGTCTAATTGATCCTCTTGGGGGAAGACAGAAGTAAGAACAGATAAACAGGGCCAGTAAAAAAGAAATAAGAGGAGGTATATAATACTAGAATAAAAAGTGACTACAAAGTGATTTGTATTAATATAGCAGTATAATAGAAATATAACATCATGTAGTTAGCCAGTTTAACATATTAAAATAATGTAAAGTATGGTATATATGAGAGAGAGAGAGAGAGAGGAAATATATAACAGAATATGAAATGTAATATGGTATAGTAGCTTAAACTATTGCATTTTACACTGCAGAACTTAGCAGACTTTTTTCTGCTCATAGCTTTCTAATTTACAGATTATTCATCCTTATACTAAACCCAGTGTGTTAAGCCTTGCTTTACCTGCTCTGTGCTTGTAAAATATTCACCGTGTCCCCGTCTGTATTACCCTGCTTATACTTTCCCGCCGTTGGTTTAAGTAACTGCATCTCCCGATGGAACACCTCTGTTAAATTTCAGTGTTGTAACATAGCGAGGTGTCAACTCACATGCTTCACCTGTCACCTGCTCTGCTCCACTCCGTGTGCACGCACGCAGCTTTGCGTTCCTCTTCACTCTAAGATGGTGTTTAGAGTTAACAATATTTGATTACTATTTCCTGTTTCACGGGCTATTTTGAAGAATGCATAATTGACACATTAAATTTTAAAAAGTTCAATAAATCCATGATGTTGTGTGTGTGTGGAAGGTAAATCTGGCTGGTCAGAATGATGGCGGTCTGTGGCCTTCAGTCAGATGAGCGTCTGCCAAAGGTCTTTACAGTCAGTTTATTGTCACAAGGTACGGGGGCCCTGCATGACGGGCATCAATTAAATCAGTCAGACGTCTCTGGTGGACCCACAGTGTCACCCACTGAAATCATTGTTAAATATCATGTGCAGCCTGCCGAGACCAAAATACTCAACCCCACATGTTTAAAGGCTGTTTGAGGCTTAAGACTTGGTTTAATGGTTAACATTAGAATTACATTAAGCAGAGGTGGGACCAAGTCATCGTTTTACAAGTCCGAGTCAAGTCTCAAGTCAAGGACCAACAAGTCCAAGTCTTAAACTTTGAGTTTCGAGTCCTAAACAAGTCATAATGCGCGCTTCATTGTGCGCTTCATGTATTGATTGAAGCATTAGCCTGTACAGAAAGAAAGCAGAGTTCACACAACAAATGTTCTATAATTTATTTTAATTTTTAATTTTTTTATAATTAAATAAATGTGTGTGTGTGTACACGGACGGGAGCAGAGCAGGTGACAGGTGAACTGAACTAAACTGAAATAAAACCGTGGTGTTTTGTCGGGAGATGCAGTGACAGAAACCAGCGGTGAGAAAACTACACATCACTATGACGTCAGAAGACGCAGTGGATATTTTACAAGAACCGATCAGGTAAAGCAACACTTAACACACCTTTTAGGGCCTCAGCTGTGAAGGAAAGAGGTGCGCTGGATTTATAAAACAAAACGAGTTGTTGTGAAACGGCACCCGCCGATGTTATAGTTTTATCTTAATTAACTTGTTTTATAATTGGTGAAAGCAGCTTCATGCAACAGCTGCGGCAGTCTCTCTACACTGTTTCGACCTGACCTTTCTTTTCTCCGTGAGGTAGAGGAATTTAGAAAGTTGCGTGGTGCTGCGTCAGGCCCCCATCTGTTGTGCATGGATTAGCCTATACGTATTCCTCCAGCCAGAGGGAACGATCACGAACCGTTCACAGCGCGCCGGTAGTAGGCCTACAACACAACCCATTTCTGCGTCAAGTCAGCTTGAGTCAAAAGGCTCAAGTCCAAGTCGAGTCGCAAGTCTTCTTTGATTTTTGTCAAGTCGAGTCTAAAGTCATCATGACTCGAGTCCACACCTCTGACATTAAGGTTAGGAGTAAAGGGCTCGGGAATGCATAATGTCAGTGATGGGTCCTCACAGAGATAGTGACGTGTTTGTGTGTGTGTTTGTGTTGTAGTTGCAAATTGTGGACGGAGCCCTCCTGCGTTCCAACCCTGCACTGGTGATGGAGGGAATCCAGAGATTCCTCAGCGTCACTCCCATCTTCAACTACACCCAGGCTCTAATGTTTGTAACGCACTCACACACGTACAACCACACTCATACACACTGTTCATATACCACGTGTGAAAGGTATTTTACTGTATTGTGAAATACCGTGCTGTGTTTCTGCAGGTACGATGACAGCAAAGGTTTCTGGTGCCAGCGGGTGGAAGGAGGTCGAGCCAAATGTCTGGGGAAGAGTAAAGGCAGGAAGTACCCAGAGATGAGTCCTGAGGTACATCTACACCTCACACTTTCATCTCATTGCTTCTTTTATTGACTGGCATGTGCAAGCAGTCAAATTTAAAGGAGAACTTTGGTTTACTGAAACTTGGGGCATCAGTTCTTTCAGCATTAACAACATAGAACTGACCGAGTTCATTGCTGAGATTTGGGTATACAATTGTTAGTGCAAGCAGTCAGACGATTGAATGCGCTTTTCATCACTCAGGTTATAGAGGAAATCAACCAAGTCCAGATTGGCAGCACATGGAGGGTAGTTCAGGGGGTCTGAGAGTGTGGAGCTTTGCAAGTAAACAAAGCTAAAAGTAAACGTCTGGTAATATTCATGACAACACAGCCCATGTGAGGACCCAAACTAAGTTCTGTGTGTATCACAGCCTGATGGATCTTCTTCCTCTGTGCCATAGACCTCTACTGTTGTCCAAAAACTATGAACACACACAGTGTAGTTAATTCTGCCGCAGTCTCTCATACACCATCCTGCTGCCCCAAATACTCACTGGAACAGTGCTTCCCAAACATTTTTAAACCACAGCTCCTCTCCACAGTAACCCCCATTGTATGCATACACGGACACATGAACGAAATATGAAGTGAAATAGAGCCTAGACCCAGCAAAAGTCAGTATTCGGTTATGGTGCTGTGTGGAAATTTCTCAAATAAACATTTAGTACATTTAGCTGTGGGACAAATAAAGGTTTTCTTGTCTTGTCTTATCTTATCTCTTAAGTTTACATCTTCAGTTGGAACCAGCTGGCCCGTGGCTGGGAGCCTTCTAGACTTCCCAAATGTTATCCACCAAATTAATGGAAATTCTGATATTGAAATAAGTCAGTTTGCAGGGCTTGTGACGATCCAAAAAAACATTTTTACAGACGCTTGTTTGGCCAATTGTAAAATTGGCTTGAAAGAGCGGAGCACTTCCTGGGTGCTTGGACCAAGCCAAGCAGTCACAGTTCTTGCTGTAGCGGTAACGTGTTGTTACATTTTTGGGGAGGTGCATGTCAGGCTACAGCGTGTTGCTTTTCATGGGATTTGTTGACCAGAGAAATGTTGAATAACACCAGAGTTATCTTTAAGAACCTCTGCAGCCACTGAGCCAGCAGAGTACAGAGAGACTGGTATTATCAAGCACACCGGAGAAATCCCACAATTAAATGATCCTTCAAAAATGAGTCAAAGAGACTGTCAGTGCTCTTTAACTTCAGTATGTTGTATCAAATATTTAGTGTCTGATCTTTTTCAATTTCTCTGTGTGTGTGTGTGCATGCAGTCGCGTGCCTTTCTGGCCGAGTACTACCGTGAGCACAATATGGAGCTGCTGCGTCTCCTGAATCGGTTGGGCCAACCGCTGCCGTCCTGGCTCCGCCAAGAACTCCAGAGCACGAGCTGGAGCTGAGGCCACATGCTCTCAAACACACACAGACAGACAGACACGCCACAGAGAACCCAGGACTGGAGTCTGTGGATGAGCCAACGCTTGCTCTGGATTAGACTGGACTACCCGATCTGGAATCAACAGCAGCACACACTAATAGAGCTACAAGGGTTTAGCTGATGTTACTGGTGCTCCTGTTCCATGGCAAAAACGACAACACGGGAGCTTTGTTTAAGTGTTGGTCCCTGTTTGGGAAGGATCCCAGCGGACTCTCCCTCCACCTCCTGATATGTTGCCAGCCTCCCGCGAGCACTGGGCGGCCTTCAGCCTCAGTCGGCGTGTGTTGGACGGGGGGGGCTGACACTGTACACATCAGTTTGCTGTGGATCCAGAGGACTGGGTGACCAGCACGTTTGGGGTATAAACAACAGGTCAGGCAGCCTTAATGTGAGGAGAGGAACTCGCAGGATGAGACGGTGTGGATATGGAGTGTATGACTGGGCACAGGACTAACATGCACACACACATACACACACGTCACATCTCTTCACAAGAATGATTGTAAAGGAGTCTATTTTCAAAAGCAGTTGTATATGTTAGGTTTGGCGGGCAGGTGAGAAACAAAATGACCAGCCGTACAGACAGACAGTCCATATCCTGGTCCAGATTTCTCTGTTTCGCGCACACACACACATCTACCTGCAGGTCCAGCCAGCTGTCAGGGGGCTGTGTTCCCTTTCATCCTCACAGTTTTCCAGTCTGTTTACTGTAGTTACAGACATTTAAAAATGGATTTAGTTCTTATGATAACGGGTCAATGTAAATATCATGTGTGTGAGATTTGGTACATGACTAAAGCCCAGGTGTGGTCCAGGCTCTGCCAACTAACTAACATCCTGTCAGGGAAACAGCTGTGAGTGAGCAGCTTTATTATTCTTATATATTCACTAAGGTAAAGATGGTTTTTGAATGATGATAGACTGCGTCTCAATCCATTCTCCAGGTTATATGAAATCGTTTATATGGAATTTTAATTATTTGGACGATGGGATTGTGAAAGTTTTTGAGGACCAGATTGTGAAAGTCCAGGTTTCACGTCAGCTCTGCAGTGAGTGGGATTGGTCGTCTTGGGTATCCACTGTAAAACTGTTAGCAGTGTTCTCTGAGTTTGTGGCTTTGGCTGGAGGCTGCTCTGTTGCAACAGCTGCTCATGGATGCTGTCACACTAAGAGTCATTCCAAGTGTTGGTTGAATTTTCCAAGATGGGTGTTTTTAGTGATGAGGATCGTTTTTATTAAATGAAAATGGTCCACTGGAAATGTACAAATTACATTTGTTTATAAATACAAATGTTACCCTAAGGGGTATACTAGTTATATGGTATTGCACTTCTATAAAGTTGGAGGACTCCTAAGAGACAGAGACATGATGATGAAGCAGCAGGAGCCAAGTTAGAAAATGCTCCCCTTCCTGGTAAATAACCACTTTCAAACTTCACATCTCCAGTTTGTGACTCCAGTTCAGTTTTGTCTCCAAGCTTACATAACACTGATGACATCACTATGACATCATCAGCGTTATTACATCTCAGACTTGACAAAGCTGCTCCAGAACCATAGAAGACATCATACAGCTCTTTGAACAGACACAGGCCTAACCCTGACAGGTAAATTGACTTGGACATGAAAAATGTAGATTGAACTTGGACAGTGCTAACAGGATTATTTGATCTAAAATGTGCTAATTTATTTTGTCATCAATCAAAAAGTGTTTTTACCATTGTAATCATGACAGTAAGGCAGCTGTTTACAGTGAGCCTGACATGATGTGATCACGAGGCACAGTCCTGGACCAAAGCTATTTAAAACCTAGTGTGGGTTGTTAAACTGTCAGAGGGGCATAAGCACCTCCAGTCGGGAAGAGCGCTACACGCTCAGCGAAGAGAGGGAAAAAAGCCCATCATGTATCAAATGTCTTCTGAACAATCAACACAGAATGCTAAACACACACACACACGCACACCCTTGTCTCCATCCGAGGACAGTAACCCACGAATGCACGGGACAAGAGGAAAGACATTGGAGCCAGTATGGACACAAATCAGAAGCTGCTGTCTTGTTTTCTGTTTGTTTTGTATGAATGTCAAAAAGGCCAACACTGTATCATCTCTAATAAACACACAGAGAGGTTGGAAAAGATGGCTGTTGTGTCTTTTGTTTTGTTTTTTATTTCCTTTTACCTCACTCACCCTCATTTTATGTATGTATACAACCAGCGGCCACCAGCCGCACCAATACCACACAGGAAGAGGTTTCCTCAGGATTTTTTTTTAAAGAAGGCGCAGTACTGTCAGGAGTGGTAACAGTTCAGTTTTATTTTGTGGCAAGTTATAACAGAAGATATATCATTGCACTTTTTATATAGAGCTGTTCTAGACATTACTATTTAATATTGACTTGGCCACAGTAGGAAGAACTTACTTTTAACAGGTAGAAAGAGAGAGCGAGATAACGGGGACAATAAAAATGGTACAGATATCAATGAAAGTAAAAATAACTAGAACTGCAAGCAGTTGTAAGCAGGGTCCAAGCCTCCCGGCGCAAGCCGCCCCCCCTGGTCCCACGGAGGGCGCGCACCGTCGTGCTGCATAAGGTCCCCACGTTTGGTGGTGTTGGGCCATTCCAAACAGAGGCAAAACATCCTGCCTTTGAAAATGCCATAGGAATGAATGGGATTTAGTGAGAGATTTGAGCTTCGCTTTTAGCGCCAGCTGTTTGCTGAACTGCACCGAAATTGTCATGTCTGATCAGGGCCCCATGGGGCACAATTGCCCCAAATTTGGTATCAATCGGAGTTGTGGTTGTGGAGGTGTAAAATGCATGTAAGTCAATGGGATTTTTTTTGAATAGCGCCAACTAGGGGCTAACTGTATCAAATTTTGCACAGACCCTCAGGGGGGCATGCCACATAAGGTCCTCAAGTTTTGTGTTGATTGGCCTTTCCAAGCCAGAGATGTGTGTTAGTTACTGTTTTTAGCGTTTTCGCAAATATTTGTTAACGTGCAATTGGGATGTTTTTTGTCGGATCAAAATTCCCTCTACAAACTTTCATCAGCTTGGTCCAGAGATTATCCGTGCCAAGCTTGGTGTCGATCGTAGCGAAAACAAAGTTTAGGCGGAAATGGGCGTGGCCTATACCACGAGATTCAGCTCGATCCCCCACGCGTGGATATAAGGTTTTTGATATCCGCCACTGTATGCGGGAGTTACAGCGCTTTGAATGTGCTAAATTTTGGACCTTGCTTGTAGCGCCCCCTAGTGGTCGAAGTGAGCGAAATTTTTCACATGCCGTCGTCTGATGGTCCTGAACCTACCCTGTGAGTTTAGCGTCCCTAGCACTTACCGTCTAAGCTGCATTAGTGGTATTAGGTGTAAATTCACGGAACAATAAAAAAAATAATAGTAATAATAAAAATCTGAGCGAAAACAATAGGGTTCCTAGCTCCGCTGGTTCTGGGAACCGTGATGCCATGCATTCGCGGGTTCCCAGCCCACTCGGGCTTGGACCCCTAATAACAGGAATAAGAAAACACAAAACTAAAATGTCCAGTCTTAAGCCTACTCTTAAATGTGGAGATACAGAGTCACACACGTAAGTGTTAAAGTCCCTGAGTGTGGGTATTGGTACAGACCACTAAACAGGATAAGCCACTATAGAAAGGTTGGGGGGGTCACCAGAGGCCTTACAGAGGCAAAGTGCCTCAGAATGCTTAATACTGAAGCTTGTTCCTTTTATGTTTAGAAAGGGAAGTAAGACTGTGTTCTCTACGGCAGTGGAGTGATGTTCCCAATACGTGGTTCAAGTGTCCTCATATACTGTAAAATACTGCAGTATAAACTACTGCCTTTTCTTTTGGAGGTAACATCCAACATGTCTCCATCTTCAGCTTTGCATTGCTGTTGCGGTTGCTTTCCTCACTGTGTAAAACTGGCCTAACAATGACTAAACCGCTCCCCTTGTGGACAGTCTGCAGCCTGCTAAATGTGAACGTGGTCTCTCCATCTTGTCATACACTGTGGTTGATTGGTGGATGCATTAAGTTGGTGTGGGGAACGGCCTGTGCTGTCTGAAGAGGGCAGAGCCTGTGGCGTTGGAATCAGGAGCACAGACAACAGTGACCGCGCAGCACTGTGGAGATTGGGACATAATGAAAGACAAAATTTGAGGATTATCACTCTGAAACAAATACACACATGCACTGCAACCACACAGAAATACACTTTAAACGCAAGTGAACTGCAAGCAAATAACATAAACACACACACACAGAACTGCTCTAAGAAAATGTAAGCCTTAATCTGTGCACAGCTGTCGGCCACAGACCACCACACCACTCCTAGTGGGTGCAGAGGAGTGCATGATGATCTGTTTTTTGGAGTATCTGGGACATGTGTCTGCGGATGTGCAGTAAAAAAAATCAATCTGTTTTCAGAAACCTGAGTAGACCCTTATCCTAGTTTCGAGAACCACATATATGTCAGCTGGAGTGCTCTAACAGAAACTTGGAGACTGTGGCATGTTGACACCTCCTCTGGGTTTCAGATAATTCTCTAACATAAGTGAAAGACTTGCTGGATGTGGACAGTAAAAGGCACAACTTTAGATAATAAGAATCCTGGATAACAGGATGCTAAATAACCAGGTTTCTCTCAGGCTGCTTGTTATGTCTGGATCCAAACACACATCATCATCTCAACCTCCTCATTCATCTCCTACCTCCTACCCCCTTGTTCTACTGTCTAACATGCTTTCTGCTTTCGTTGTGTTGTTCTAGTAGATTATTGTTTCAAAAATTCAAAACTTGTGCATGACTCTAATAGGTCTCCATCTCAACACTTGCAAGTTATCTGATGATGTTGCACTGTGCTAAACCCTGTCAAATAAAGGAACATTGTGTTGCACAATGATTTTTATAAAATACTGTATGGAACAAGTGCACAATCCAGAGCTCCCTGTAGATGTCATGCCAATGTCAAAAGTTGCCACTCATTTGTAGGGTGTATTCAGGGGGACCCAAGAGCAGGACACAGAGGCAGTGGTAAAAAGGAAAATGACAGTGGATTTATTAACAATTTCAAAACAATGTCTGATGGTAGAGCTTGCTGGAAATCTTGTAAGCAGGCAGGCGGCTGACATCTGGTGAAACAAAGGAGTAAGAAGACAAACTGAGACCTGAGACAACCACAGTAATGTTAAATATCAAGCAACAACCGCTTAAACACAGGTCGAGATTATTACGCTGGTAAGAGTACCACTGAGCTGGGGTCTATATACGGCCACGTCCAGACAACACGCACACAGACAGACAGGTGACAGACAAGGGAGGGAAAACAGGCGAAACACTGGGAGCTGAAAGAGTGGCACAGCCAACCATGACAGCTCATTTAACGCTGGAAAACTCTAATAATACATAAATATGAATGTGTCTAATTTCCTAATAGTTTCTAGGAAGTTTCCTAAGATGAGTCCATACTTTAATACTAATTAGGGAAAATAAGAATTTCCATGACAGAGCTGCTCCATTTAAACCCCAGTAAATCTGGCTCAGATCGCACTGATTATTCACTGATTATTGGATAGTTTATTCTTCATTTCAGATTTCACATTTTTGTATGGTCACCTCAGCTGCTGTGCTCTGACTAAAAGACGTTATATAATGCAGGGAATTGTGAACCAGTTGACCAATCTCCATTTTCCCAATTGAGTAAAAAAAAGCACATATATATAGTATAGTATATTATAGGAAGTAGTAGTAAAATTACCTAAAAAAAAGAATACTGCATCCATGGGGGGGGATCAAGCTGCTCAGACTTGTTCCACAGCATCACAATCACGTCGCCAAACTAAAATGCATATTGCTGCAATAAATGGTTAAAACCTTGACGTGAGCGTCCTCTCTGAAAGGGCCACAGAGTGTCTACTGGAGGAACCAGAGGTAAGAGTGTCCATGTAAATCACAGCCACACCACCCACCTCCCTACTCCACCAAGGTTGATTTTAAAATGTGTGTAGGAGGCGGGTGTAGGCGGGGGGGAAGAACTTCATTACTCTCTAAAGCTGCAGTTCTACCAAAATTCACCTGGTGAAATGTACCCACGTGGTGTGGCCAAAAGCAGGACGGACAGGGAACAGTGGTGGGTTTGTAAACAGAAACAGCAGGAGAGAGGAGGGCTAGCAAGCTAACAACAGCAGTCCACACACAAGCAGCGCCCCTCCTTCTGTACTGCTTGGATTATTTCACCTGCAGTCATAAAACAAGAATATAAACAAACTATATTTTCTTTCTCTAGTCTCTCAAACCAGCTGGACACTGGAGAGGATTCTGCATGTCAAAGGTTACTCAGATTGAAGGGATCAAACGAGGCGAAAAGGCAAGCATGTTTTGGGGTATGTTTGCATAATTAACAGGTATCGCAGCCAATCACATTCAGCCATGGTGATTGCCACTAGCTGATCCGAGCTCAGCTGCACCCAGGTTTCCTCCCATTTGACCAGATGGAGATTTCCCTGCTCCAATAAAGCAGCTGTTTGTGAACCCAAACTCCAGGCTTCAGAACGCCCATTCACAAACCTGTGGGTGACATCACCGAAAGTACGTCAGCGTTCTTTATAGTCTATGCTCGTGCCAGCCGTCTGTTAACATGTCATCATCATGGTCATTTGTGTCCTCCATGGTTTCTGACACATATGGAGAAATGAAAAGCATTGAGTTGATGTGTGAAATCGGCTGCAGCTGAGTCAACCGCAAGCATGAGCAGTCCCCAGCTGATTTGTTTTGGCTGTCTGTTGTCTCACTGCCAGCTGTAAAAAAAAAAAAAAAAACACACACACACACAGGCCCATTGAGTATTGCAGTTTCCATAGCAACAGGGATTGTGATGGAGAGTGGGTTGGAGGTGGTGGGAGGGTTGCATGGGGGTTGAGCGAGAGAATGACACAGAGTGTGAAACTAAAGTAACAGAGGTCAGAGTGGAGCTGAGCGTGTTCGTGAGTGAAGACGAAGAGGAGTGGAGAACTGGAGACAAAGGAAGAACCAGGATGTTTCCTTTCTTTTCTCTCTAATGCACACATTCATTCATGCACCAGTCCTGCTCCCCTCCTCCCAGGTGGAGGGACAATGACGCTCGCCGCCTGACTCTCTCCTCTCATCATCGCCACCCCCTCCACCCGTCTCCCACTACAGCTGGATAAGCCAACCGCTAACCAGCTCGACTGACTCGTACAGAGGAGGGATTTGAAGATTGCATCCTCACATTTGTAATCAGATGTAGGAGAGGATTATCTCAAGGTCTCCTCCATCTTGTGCACACCCGGGGACTGCTGAGACTAAAAGGGAAGAGAAGAGGAGGCTGGGGGAGGAGAGCAGGGAGGGATCACTGGCGCCACAGTGAATGGAGTGGAGTTAGAGAGAGGGAGAGGTCACCTGTGGATGTGAGGAGGAGGAGGATGAAGGCTTTCTAAGGAACTGCACCCATCACCCGGCACATCCGAAAGGGAGAGGAAAGAGGGGTGGACAGAGCCTTAGCAGCAAGTGTTTCACTGTGAAAGGTAAGCTGGTGGATGAACATGTTTTTTCTCCTGATGAACACGCTGACCTTGTGTGCATGTGCGCAACTCTTATTGCATCTGTTTGCGCAAGCATAGTGTGTGTGCGTCTGTTTGTGTTCCTGGGTGTGAATCTGATTGTGAGAATGGTGTGATTGAAAAATGCAGATTCAAAGCTCTGAGACACAACATGCAGGGATTTAACGCACCTTCAGACTGGGCCAGCACTGACTTGTTGCCGTCAGGATCCTGCGACTTGCTTCATGACACTTTAAAACACCACGCTTTCTCGTGACGTAATGTGGATCCAGTCAGCCATTCACATGATCAGGATCACACTGCAACCATTTTTGAATTAATAGTACACTCATTTGCCGTCTTTCCTGAGAGTTAGATTTGAAGAACAACATCAGTTTCATGCCTGTGTGTTAAGTACGGAGCTGGAGTCAGGATGTGATTAGCTTAGCATAGCACAAAGACTGGAAGCAGAGGGAAACAACAAGGGGAGTAGTAAGAGTTACCTTTTTGTGTGCATGTGCGTGGGGTATGCACATCACACACACGTACAGTGCACATTATGGCACACGTAGCCCATGTGTCATATGATGTGGGGTTGATGGTGTGAGGTGGGTTTGGTACATATCAGATGGAGGAGTGGCAGTATATAAAAACACGGGGTGGCCAGATTTAAATGAAGCTTTTGTAATCTTAGAGGTGACCTAAGATCAGTATAAGTGCTGCAAGGGTGTAGCCTGAAACTACAAAAGGAAAAGTTTCTGTCTGACAGTATCTGGTCTGACTGTGAGTGTTCATATTCAAATTACTATTTTGTTCTCTATCAATAATGGGGGGGAGGGGGGTTAAACACCACCAGTATTTAACTTACTGAATCACAACTTGACCATAGTCATCTGAACATTATGTTATTCATTTTCTAACCAGGATCGTTTTAGTGCAAACATTTAGTTATATTTATGTCCTAAATCTTTCCTGCTATATTGCAACTTTTTTTTTTATAAAACCTGTCCAGGTGTGTTGGCACCATTTTAAAATGTACTTAACTATATTTATAGGTTTCCTGATTTATATACTAAATATCTGAATTCTTATAACACTACTGTTAATGTGTGATGAAAACATAAAAGATTTGTGTTTGGAACCTAATGTCTATTTGACAAAGAGTTCAAACTGGTATTATGTCACTATAACTACTCCTACTGAGGTGTATATAGTCAAAGATTGTTAGGAACCAAACCCTTTAGATTTGGTTGTTTTCATCTATCTTCTCCAAAGACAAATAAAACAAATTTAGGCAAGAAAGCCCCATAAATAGCAGGATCTCGATTCCCATTCAGGGTTCATTCCTAATCTTAATTTGAAGAACTGACTCTGACGTGTGCACATAGATATTATTATTATCATCAAATTATTGATGTGACTGCAAATGTTTAACAACTGGCCAAATACATCTTCAGTTATTTAGCCTCTGAGTCAAAAAGAGCATTGTAGAATTGTTTAAAGAAATACAAAGAAATACAAAGTTTATGAAGTATCACTCAGTGGCGCAGTGATTGTGTCAACAAAAGCACAACAGTCGACATTGTGATATTATCAAAAATCGATTTCAGATGTACATCAGTATTATTCTGTGTTTAATGAAACTACCACACAGCAAGACTGGGGCTCTATAGGAGAAAGCCCAGGGGCCCCGTATCAGGTTCATCCAGCCATGTACCAGCAGTATCGGGGTGTGTTTCTAAAGTCTAAAGAAGAGGAGCTTTCTATAAGTGGGGCACATTTGAAGGCCAATATAAATTATAATCGGTGGCCATACAGATAACTGTGCAGAGCTTTATGGATTAGAATGTTTGATTTTAAATCAGGTCTGGGCTGGGTGGGCAGCCAGGATAGCATAATAAAGGATCCTCGTTAGATGGACAGGTTGTTTTTGTTTTCTTGCCTTTTAAGAGGCACATTTTGAAATGTAAATTGTTGGCAGGTAATTTCCAAATTTGACCAATAAACAATAATTAACTCTAGATCAAATAAAACTATATCTTGGACTTTTATCTAGTCACATGGGTAAAGGCCTATAGGCCTAATTATAGTCATGTTGCAAAAATAAAATCATTAAATTACTAAATTATGAAAAATAATGATATCAAAAGCAATGCAGCAAGCATATTCTTACACTCTTAATACCAAACTTAATGTAATTTAAAAGGTTTATGGGATGGTCTGTGTTGTGTGTGAGCTGATCAGGTGTAAGACATCCACACTCTGTTTTATTTCTCCTTAAAGGTCTTTCATGGCAGAGGCCGGCCATCCTGTGTCGGAGCTGTACCCACTGGGGGAAGCTGTTTCTTTGGAGTCTACCCTCTGTGGTCAGCCACTCTTTGACACCTCCAAGAGGTCTATGCAGGCAATAACACCCCCCAGACTGACAGGGGTACCTGGTTACCCCTGCCAGGAGGAGGAGCCAAAGGAGGCTGTCAGTGTACCTCCTACCAGAGAAGCTAACTGTAGCAATCTGAGGGTCGGTGCGGAGCCTGGTGAACAGGAACATAGCCCATCGGAACACTGTGTGCCCCCCAGGGCTTTGAGCCACCCCCATACTCCGGCTGAGACACATACACCGTCACATCACAACAAGATAGTCGTTAATTCAATCAGTAACAACCCTCAAGCTAGCGGGACAGTGCAGAGCACAAAGCCAGCCTCCCTACCAGTTCACCGGAGTCACTCAGACACTTTACCTCTGGTTAAACAGGGATCCCCCGCCCCGGCTGCAGACACTAAGACTTGCGGACTTGTTTACCACGGAGGAGATAAGAGTATCCAAGAGGCTGAGAGTTGCTCCATGTTAGCTTGCAAGCAGCCCATGCAGCTGCAGCAGTGCAACATCATCACCACTATCTGCAGAGGGGCCAACAGTGGAGAAGGTGGTGCACAGCAGCCTCAGAGCAGGTGTGTCTGCCTCTCGTCCCCCAAGGCAGCAGCCAAAGTGGAAGGTGCTCAAGAGAAGGGTGATCTTCCCCTTATATGTGACAATGCACTCTGCTACGGCTCTTATATCCATCATGGCAATTTTGAGGACACCTTTGCTGCTTACTGCCATCCCCAGCCAATCCCAGCCCCCTCCCAGCTGCTGCCACCCATGGCAGGCGTGGAGCCATGCAACATCCAGCGTGCAGCGGGACCTCTTTCAGCGACGAACCACCTCACCCCGCCTCGCCTCATCTCCTCTGTCAGTGACACCGGCCTGGATGCCAAACACCTGCTGCGGTGCTGCAACCTCAACTACTCTTGGATCAGCTCGCTGCCTCCTGGTTCTGGGCCGCAATCTCAAAAATATTTTGGTGGAGAGGAGTGCTGCAGCAGTCCCGCTCACCATGTCAGAACCACGACCCGAGACACAGGGACTATGACAGCCCACACAGAGCTGAGGGATGTTGGGGTGCAGACAGGACAGACTGCCACACCCCATGTGTTCCCCCAAATCTGTCTGACAGAAGAGAGCGGGAGTGAGACTTCACGCAGCCAAAATCAGAACACCGACAGGCATGGAGGCAGGAAAAAGGGTGGTGCTTCCAAGTCCCCGGTAAAGGAGGTGAAGTGGGATGCGGAAGGGATGACATGGGAGGTGTACGGGGCCTCGGTGGATCCTGAGGAGCTGGGCCTGGCCATCCAGAAACACCTGGAGTTGCAGATCAAGGAGACAGCAAGCCATGCAGCCAAGCTGTCGCAACAGAACAACAATACCTCCCGGCAGAGCGGGACCACCAGCAGTCAGAGAAAGAGGAGCAAGATGATGGGCTCCATCCCAACCCCGGCCTGCTGCGCTCGCACCACTACAGCTGTCGACTAACTGACCAGCTGACTGATGGACACGACAGAACCTGAACACTGTGTTCAGTAGCCTGGATGGCTACTCAAAGCCTCAGCCTCAAATGTCTCCCATCTAATCAGAAGGTCTGTGGACTAATCTGCATACTACTACTAAGAATGGCCTGCATAGCAGAATCAAAGGAAAAGCTTCAGCTGAAACGATTAAGATTTGTCATCAGTATGAAAAAAAGTGCTGAAGATGATGAAACAAACTATTTATCTTTCATCGTTTGTTATCAATGGTTCTGGTTATCTATTAGAAGATCCCTGCAGCTGTGCACTGCCAGTGTTTTCAGAGGGCCACTCCATACAGGTGTGTCTTCATAATAAATTACTCACAGGAAATATAGCATACATAATGAAACAACACCTGTGTGGTGTGAAGCAATCTGATACAACAGTCCTGCAATAAATACTACTCTTAACACTAAGCTTATAATGAATGTGTGGGGTCACAATACAGAGACACATCGACCTAACCCTAACCCAAGCTCACACTAACCCTAACCCAAGCTCACACTAACCCTAACCCAAGCTCACACTAACCCTAACCCATGACCAGTTACATCATTGCTTCTCCTTCCCCTCCCTGGAACTTTGCGGTTTTGGTGTTCCTCCTCCTGGCTGACTTGGACTCCACATGGCGTATGGGGTCTTGAGTGACATGCATTGGCACATGTCAGTGGCAGTCCCACTCAGGAGGGTGACCCTAATCCCCCACATCCCAGTCTAAAGCCTCAGAATCTACCGTAGAGTCAAATCAACACCTCTCTTACACGGTCCCAACAAAAAGTGAACATTAAAAGCACACACATACACAGAAAAAGGAAATGAGTATCATAATAATACTGTAAGAAAAGTAAAAAGTCTGCTGATCAAGTCCTGTGGGAGAGAAGTAAAGACCTTGTGGCCTCCAAAATCAATAAATACTGCACATACTGTATGTGTTTGCGGAATTCAGACTATGGAAACAAGATGCTAGTCTTTTATTGAGTGTGTGATGGACACATTTACATTCTTCCATGTGTTAACTTAGTCTACCTGTATTTCATCAACATGGTTTAAGCTCTTGAGTTGGCAGTTTCAGTACATCTTCCTTTCCTGCATATTTATTATGAGTCTCTTTGCTGAGATGTTTTTGGATTTTGGTTTTTGGCAATTTTGGATGTGATTTAAATGACACCAGGCATACTGTGTATAGTTTGTGTACTGTTCTACTGTATGAACAAACAGGAACATGATCAATCTTCACAGAATCTATTTTAACCAAATATACTGAAAGACCAACAACATTAGAACATTTGAAACCATTGTGAGACTTTCTCTGACTCATTCATCTAACTTCATGAATATGCTGTAAAATGCCTGGATTCCTGTGGGAATAGAGCATACTAATATAGGTGTATGCAAATAAATGTACAGTAACAAGAGAATATAGTCCATGGACAGATCGCAGTGGAATGTCATGGTGAAACGATGACCTTTGTTTAATAAAAAGAAACCAACGGTTGGTTATACCTAACTGGTAAACCACAACTAAGCTTTATCATCTACCCAAATATACCCCATGCTACATCCTTCATTGTCTTCTTTATTTTATCTAACCTTGAGTAATTTATGGGATTAGGCTTAGGTATTGGTTGTGTTTTGGTGTTTGAATTGTATGTAATTTTCTTAAATGATAAATTATTTAATGTGTTTTAAAATGTGCTCCATCCAACTTCAAAGTATTTTATGCTTATTGAGTGTTAGCTTCTCAAAAATCAATAAAAAGACTGAACTCCAATTGTATTTTCCTGGATTTAATTAAATTAAGATGAAATTATATTCACATATCTTTTCAAACACATTTGAAAAATTGAGGACAATGGAAATATGGGTACACATTTCAGGATCATCTTTGAAATATGGGATTACTTGGTCATGTAGTTTCTGTGGTACGTTATGCTTCTTAAAAAATAACATCAAAATCAAAAAACAAACAAAAGTAAAATAAAAAATCACAGCTGCATGCTGTTTTCAGTGAGTAAATGACTATAATTAATAAATGGTACAGTAATCAATAATAAATGATATACATGTTTAAATAGATTCATTTTAAAGATTCATAGTTGATTAAATAAATACATTGAAAATGTCTCTTTATTTTTCACCTCCACACTTTTCATATTTATCACTTTTCTCTTCATGCACAAATCTATTCCCATTTTGCCCATGCAGCATTCCCAACTTTTTTGTTGGATGTAAGCTAATATTAATGATATGAACACTTATTTTTAACTCATTGTATAATAATATATGTATATGATTTTGTCTTTGTGTTATCTGATAGCTCGTTGATGACATGTGTCTGCAGGGGGGTTATTGACAGTACTAGACAGAAATCTGTCACATTTAAATACTGGGGGTTTTGAAGCCACAGTAGAAAACTAGTAATCAGAATATTATAATGTGTCAGTGGGGAATTTTTCACCCTGTCAATGGTACAGATGTATTTACCATTCTACATTATAGGCAGATGACATTCAAATGGGGAAATGGTCAAAAGCTTCTGAATGTAAATTTGTGTACATCTGAACCAAGAGGAAGAGCCTCAACCTCCCTCACTGAAAACCAACAGTGAGGATTCACCATCTATACCCCCCCAATCCCCATCTAGGTCACCCTTATCTCCAGACACATTTTCTCCCCTCTCCTCCCTGTTGGACTTCACTGATCACATGGAAGACCTGGTTAGAGCTGGGACCAAATTTACTCCCCGCACCTTCCCTCGCTCTACTCCCGTTCTCTCTACCCTAAACCCCCCTCACCGTCCACCTCCACCACTGGCTCTAAGTCCTCCAGGTTTGACACGTGTCACAAATACAGCGCCCAACCCGCTCCGCAATGGCGAAAAAGCCCAGTAAGCTCTGTCTAATATGTGCTGGGTCCAGGCTACAAGGAAAATAGCACTCATGACTCTTCCCAGGAGAAGACGGGGCCCAATGTGCTGGTGGTCTTCTCCATCCCTGTCTTGATAGGTAACAGAAAAAGCATGGTGAATGTGTTAAGAAACAGGAAGCACTCAACATATCCTGCAAATTTAGTATTAATTCCTCGTCAGCCGCAGCCTGTCGAAAAAAGTGGGCCAGATAATGTTTTTAACACACTAAAATTTAGCTTTGTTAAATGTTAGGTCTTTGGAAGAAAAAAACATTTTTAATCAATGATTTTATAATCACTCACAATCTTAATTTCATGTTTTTAACTGAAACTTGGTTGGACCAAGATAACAGTGCAGCTGTCCTTATCGAGTCTACCCCTCCCAGCTTCAGTTTCATGAGTGAAGCTAAAGTGCATAAGAGAGGAGGTGGAGTTGCCATTTTGTTTAATGACTCCCTCCAATGCAAAAAGATGTCTTATGGGAATGTTGCTTCTTTTGAACATGTGGCTCTTCAGCTGAATTCCTCTTCTCAAGCTATTTTTCTAAATATCTACAGGCCCCCTAAATACTGTGCAAACTTTTTGATGACTTTGCTGAACTACTGTCTATAACCTGTTTGGACCTTGACTAACAAATCCTCAGGACAGAGGGACTAAAGAGGGACTGTGTTGTGTTCTTGATAATTATGGACTGACTCAACGTGACGGAGCCCACACACAGGCACACTTTGGACTTAGTCATCTCCAAGGGTCTGAACATTTCCAAGGTTGTGGTGACTGATGTTGCTCTCTCTGATCATTCCTGTGTTTTCTTTGAGAGTGCTATCTGCACACAAATGTTCAGAGGTAATCATAAGACGGCATATCACTGAAAACACTAGTGAAAAATTTATTCAGTGAATGAGCTTGTAGATAATTTCATTTCTAAAATTACAAATGTTATTGATGCCATTGCACCAGCCAAGGTGAAGGTGGTCTCTGGTAAGAGAAGATCTCCATGGAGAAATGCCACGCTGATAAGAATAGAAAAAGAGTGTCGAAAAGCTGAACGCAGGTGGCGGAAAACAAATCTCCAGGTTCATTATGACATCTATAAAGAGAGACTTCGCATTTATAATTTAGAACTGAGAAATGCAAGGCGGCCCTTCTTCTCTGACATCATCACCAAAAACACTAATAATGCACGTGCCCGTGCACGTGCTACTGTTGACAGGCTAACCAACCCTCCTGTGTCTGTAGCCTCTGAACCTCTATCCACCAGGGCCTGCAATGAATTTGCCACCTTCTTCACAGACAAAATTCAAACAACTTAACTTAAACACAATTCATATAGCATGAGACAATTTGATTCTATTAACCATAAAAACCTGGAGGACATAATACAACATCTGAATGTTGCCTTGATATTCTGCCAACAGGTTTTTTCAAAAATGTTTCTAAATGCATGGCCTCAGATCTACTACAAATTGTCAACATGTCTCTCCTCTCAGGTTTTTTCCCACAGGCCCTGAAAACTGCAGTCATTAAGCCACTCTTAAAAAAGAGCAATTTAAAATCAAATTTTTAAAATCAATGAAAAGGCTGTTTTTCAACAGCTTAGTGCTTTCTTGGCACTAAATAACTGTTTTGATGTCTTCCAGTCAGGTTTTCGACCACACCACAGCACTGAGACGGCTCTTGTTAAGGTCTTCAGTGACATCCATTTAAACACTGACAGTGGCAGACCTTCAGTCGACATGGTCGACCACAACATATTGTTTTATCATATTTTACTGATAAAAACATGCATCATATGAATTAATTAAACATGTTTGTTTGTTTGTTTGTTTGTTTGTTTACTTTATTTATACCCGTAGGTAAATTTGTTTTACAGTGCAATGACATTCTATGGCATCCAGTACAAAAAACAACACACAACACAGAACATCACACTACACATAAGGACAGATAAAATAAATAAATAAAATAAAAAATTCATTAATTACATGTGGCAGTTAACTGATCAGGTTGTTTCTTAATTAAACAAGCATTTAACACTTTCACATGCTTTACAAAAAGTACATTGATTACTGATTCTGCAGTATGAACACTATGAATTCATCCCAGATCATCATCATCCTACCTACTTATCAGGCTGTTTGGCAGACCCAAACCATCAAATCCAAGCCGACACATAAAAAGCTAATTTTGAGCATAAAAGGCAGTTGTTGTTTTTTTTACACACAATCAAAATTTTGTTGGAAAAATCAACTGCATTAACATCATGTACCAACAAAAATCTATGATATTATATGTACAGTAAAAAAAACCAAATACATACCTTTATACAGTAACTACATGAGCCAACAATTTAACAGGTAAATTGTTTTACTTGTAAGTTATGCCAGAGTCAAATAACTTCAATTCTGAATATTTAGCAGTATAAGTTTAGTTGTGCCTTATATATTTCTGAAGCTACATGTCTTCCTTTAATTCATAATATATCTAAGTTGGTGAATTGAAGATTGAGTATGAAGCTAATTTATTGGAGATATGCAGTGATCACATCTGGGCATGGTCAGAATCAGAATCAGCTTTATTGCCAAGTATGTGTGCACATACGAGGAATTTGACTCTGGATTGTACATTGCTCACGATGTCCTTACTCATACAAAAATACAAAATCACAATAATAAAAATAAAATATAATCAGACAGACTTCAGTGTAGACAACACAAATGTCACATTACGAACAAAATCAATATAGACATATTGAGAAATAGTGCAGTGAGCAGAGTGCAAAGGATGCAGGAGTATGTACATGTCGGAGGTTGATGTGATATACAGGTACATATACATGCATACATGTACACATGTACACATGTACACAGTGCAATGAAGCACAGTGCAAAGGATGGTGGAATAAATAGGTATAAGTATTTTGTGCAGGAGTAATGACTTGAGGTAGGTGGATTTGGTATACAGTATCTACAATATGACAATATAACAGTATGAACAGCACGGTGTTGACCTCATTATCACAACAAGCTGTAGTACTCTGCTAAATGTGACACGGGCCACATTTCAAAGGAAGATGAGAACAACATGTTCATTTACTGTAAGTTTAGTCTGATAAACTGCATGAAGCAGCCCTTAATCCTTAACTTACCTTATGACACATGGTTAAAGACGTAGAGACCTACAAAGAGCATGAATGAAAGTTTCAGAGCTGTTAGATGACGGCCTCAAAGTGCTGCAGAGCTTCCTGTTTTACTGCTTTATAAATGTAAGTCGTTACAACCCACCTCTGCTGATACGATTTCCAATAAGACACCTTACTGTCGGCAACAGGAAGCAGGGTTTTTGACTCTGCTGTGGGAGAACTGGCAGCTGGTTCACTGTAATGGCTTCAACAAATATAAATAAAATATGTTTTTATTAGTTTTTAGCTGTAAGTTGATGTTTAGCTGTATCTCATCCACCTCTGACATGTACATAATAATGATAATAATAATTTTACTCCTGCATCCTTTGTACTCTGCTCATTGCACTATTGTCTCAATTGGTCTTGTTTTTGTTTATAGTGTGTATATGTGTTCTCTATACTGTAGCCTGTGTCTGATTTTATTATTGTAAATTTGTATGAGTAAGCACATTGTGAGCAATGCTGAGTCAAATTCATTGTACCAGAAATGTGAGATGATCAGGCTGTCTGAGGGACCGGGGAGAAAAAAACTAAAAGGGCACCAGCTTCACATGGTGGGGCAACAGGATGCAGAAACTGAACAATTTGGCATTCATTTTCGGTGAAGCCTAGGATAAACGATCGGTATTCTCAAATCATTTCTAATTTCTGGACTATTTTGGGGGCTGGGCAAGTGCCAGAATTTTAAGACTGTCTAAAAAACTGACCATAGCTGTCCCATGACCTTAGCAAGACTCAGGAGGTCGCTAATGGAAAGTTGAATGACAGTTTCTCGATTTACAACAGGCCTGCAAGAACTCCCAGAGCATGAACAGCAAAGGTTGAGAGCCTACTCTAACAACCAAAGACAGTTTAGTTAATCACAACTTCCTTGGCCTGATGTTGCCTAGGATTTTTTTTCCTAGGAAATTTTATATCTGAGCTACAAATACTGAAGTAGTAGTCGTAGAAGGTGGAACTAGTTTCAGGGGTTAAGTCCAGTAGTTAGGTGATGGCCCTTCTCCAAATAAATAAATGCCACGCAGAGACTTTGAAAGAGTAATCCATGCATTTATAACATCTCGTCTAGACTACTGTAATTCATTGAATGTTGGAGTGTATCAGTCATCTCTCCATTGGTTACAGTTAGTCCAGAATGCAGCTGCTCGACTTCTGAAAAAGCAGGAGCACATTACTCCAGTTTTAGCCTTGCTCCGCTGGCTTCCTGTGCACTTTAGGACTGATTTGACTGAAGATTTTATTGCTTGTTTTTAAAACCTTAAATGGGTTGGCACCTTCTTATGTATCAGAACTTTTACATGTACACACTCCTGTCAGGGCACTGAAGTCATCCAATCAGAAGCTCCTCCATGTCCCGACATCCAGGTTAAAAACTAAAGGTGACCGGGCCTTTTCAGTGGCTGCTCCTAATCTTTGGAATCCTTCAAATTCTTGCTGAAGACCCATCTCTCTTCACTGGCCTTCAAACAATTCAATTTCAATTCAGTTTTATTTATATAGCACCAAATCACAACAACAGTTATCTCACAGCGCTTTTCATAAAAGAGCAGGTCTAGACCGTACTCTGTGATGATATTTACAGAAGCCCAACAGTTCCCACCAAGAGCAGCACTAGGAGACAGAGGCAAGGAAAAACTTCCTTTTAAGAGGCAGAAACCTCGAGCAGAACCATGGCTCAGGGTGGGCGGCCATCTGCCTCGACCGGTTGGGGTGAAGGAGAGAGGGAGAGAGAGAGAGAGAGAGGGGGAGAGGGCAAGAGAGGAACAGAGAGAAAAAGAGAGGGATGGAAGGAGAGAGAGAGGGGAGGGAGGCAGCCTACACAATATACACACAGAGGTACAGACAGTGAAGGTGATGTTGCTATAGACTAAATGAAAAATGGTACAGATATTTATAGTAGTGTTAATGGTAACCATCGTAATGTTAATGATTATAATAACAATAATAACAATAAGACTAGCAACAATAGTCGTTGCAGCAGAGGGTGTCGAGCAGGAACATGGGGGCAGCAGGTGACCCGCAACCACAGATCCAGACTCCACAGCTCCAGAGCCAGAAACACCTGCAGGAAGTGATAGGAGAGAGGAGAGGGACGAGAAAGCACAAGACTACCAGAAAGGGGAGAAGTTGTGTTAGTAACATGCATTAATGGGATGAGGTTGCATACAGAGGGAGAGAAAGTAGAGGAGAGAGGAGCTCAGTGCATCATGGGAAATCCCCCGGCAGTCTAGGCCTATAGCAGCATAACTAAGGGATGGTTCAGGACTACCTGAGCCAGCCCTAACTATAAGCTTTATCAAAGAGGAAAGTCTTAAGCCTACTCTTAAATGTGGAGATGGTGTCTGCCTCCTGAACCCAAACTGGAACCTGGTTCCACAGGAGAGGAGCTTGATAGCTGAACGCTCTGGCTCCTAGTCTACTTTTGGAGACTCTAGGAACCACAGTAACCCTGCATTCTGGGAGCACAGTGCTCTGGTGGGGTAGTAAGGTGCTATGAGCTCTTTAAGATAAGATGGTGCCTGACCATTGAGAGCTTTGTAGGTAAGAAGAATGATTTCAAATTCTATTCTGGATTTTACTGGAAGCCAATGCAAAGAAGCTAAAACAGGAGAAATGTGATCTCTTTTCTTGTTTCCTGTCAGAACACGTGCTGCAGCATTCTGGATCAGCGGAAGAGTCTTAACGGACTTTTTTGAGCAGCCTGATAATAAGGAATTGCAGTAATCCAGCCTAGAAGTAACAAATGCATGGACTAGTTTTTCTGCATCATTTTTAGACAGGATGTTCCTGATTTTTGCATTTGCATTTGATTTGAGCATTGACATTACTGACCTTTTCTGCTGTTTTTGTCGTGTAGCTATATTTGTTGTGCATTCTGAACCTGGAAAGCACTCCCACTAGGGTTGTTTTTAAATGTGCTATAGAACTAAACATGAACTATATCAGCAGTCAAAAAGAGACAGCTGAACCACGTGATCATCTGTCTAACCTCGAATCCATTTTGTTCCATGTATTCAAAGTTTGACTTAATATCTATCCTCTGCAATATGCACTCTTAGGTATTTGTGTATGGCATTTGACCGTGACGTTGGTTTTGATGGGGAGAAGAAGTGATGCAACGTTAGTAAAAATCGGAGCGGAAGTGTGGGCGGAGCGAAGCAGACGACACGGCAAGATGGCGGCGACCATGAAGAACGTGGAAGAAATTCGGAATCGAGTAATACTGGGGGAATATGGTGTGAAGAATGTAAGTCCGTTTTTAACAGTGGCTTCATGTTAATATCACTCCATAGTTTTAACGTTCAGGGTCCCTCTGAGCTGCCGGACTGTCCCGCATGTGATCTCTTTACTCACCGTGCCTCCACAAACTGCAGCGTTCTGACGCTTCATCTGTTATACAGAATAACGGGGGGTTAAAAATTTAAACTTGGAGCATTTGTTCACAGTTTATCATGTTAAACCCTGTATAATATTACTCTAATATTCCTATCATATCCCTGTCTGGATTTGGAGATTATATGGTAGCCTACAGTTTAGTAATTTACTATGAGCTGAAAATAACTTACTGTACTGAAAGCACCTCATTCTGTAATATCACTTTAAAATATTCATCTAGTAACTTATCATTTTGATCTGTTGAAATCATAGTGGATGTCAGTATAATAAATTCTAGTGACTGGCTCCACACCAACATCACTTCAGTACCAAGGAGAGTGTGAGCCACAGACCTGAGTTTGTCAGATAAAACAATAAATGCCACGCTCACTGTCAACTATTTGACCACAATTGGATTTTATGAAGAAAATCAGCAGTATTGTCGGCTCATCCCTTACATTAAGATTAGCTGAAAGGTTCCCGCCACAAATCCACTACACTAAACTATCAACATCTCTGTTAGTGTCACTTTCACAAACACAGAGAAACTTTACTTACCTAGTTCTGTTTGTTTCTCAGTGACAGCTGCTTCAACTCCAAGATGATGATTTATTTAGTTTACTCCAAGCAACAAACTAATTGCAAGTTAATACCCAGCTGTAGATGTCCATCCTCCTGTGTCTCATATTCACAAACCTAAAAATGATTCTGAATAAATCTGAACAAAACGCGTCTGTGCACCAGATTCTTTTATTCCATTTTGCAGTAGGCTGGCTGTTAGCAGCCAAGGACCTTATTTTTCTTATTTATTGACTGATTATTTGTGTTTTTTTAGGTTCACACAACAGATTTCCCAGGAAACTACCCTGGCTATGATGACACATGGGATATGCAGAAATTTCAAAAGGTAAATGTCATTTTAGATCTGAAAGTGGCGGTTAGCGATACCTGAAGTACATTGGATCTGTCTGTAAATCTATTATTTTACATTTGTTCACGCTGTCTCACACTTTCAGAAACGCCTGCCATGTGCCTATGTGTTTGTGTTTTCTTTTGTCAGGAAAAGATCCATTTCTAAACCCCAAAGTATTCTAGTTTTTCTTATTACCCTCCTTGTTCTCCCTCATTTCTGATCCTCTGTCTGTGGAGTCAGATTCAGAACCTTTACTTTGCTACATGGGCTTTGTTTGGAGAACGTTCAACTACATTCAAACATTTATTCTTTATCTTCATTCTTAATTAAGAAGTATTTATTCTTCAAACTACTTTTATGTGGTTAAGGATCAGGTTGTAAAGCCAGCTAACGTATGTAGTTATTTAAGAGTATTTGATGCATTTGAACAAAAATCTGTACAAACTAGAGTAGGAGGATGACACAGACCTTTTCTATATTTCCAGTATTTCAGCTCACCTGCATCAAGAGCAAACAGAAGTCATGGGTTAGAGAGCACTTTATGTCACATAACTCAGATTACATTTTTACTTAACATGTAGAAAGATTCACATATAATTGATTCAAGCTTAAACATTATTTCACATCTTATACTCATACAGAAATAACGAAGTTACTACTTTCAGTTTATTTTCAGTCAGACTGAGTTGAAAGTACAGTGAGTGTTTTGAACTAATGACCGATGTATGATTACACTACTCTGTTTGCAGAACTTCAGAATTGACATAGTGCATCTGGATGAGAACAGTATGGAGTTTGACATGGTGGGGATAGATGCAGCCATCGCCAACGCCGTCAGAAGGATCTTACTAGCAGAGGTGGGATTCCCATTCTGTCAGGTTCAGCCATCTGTGTCATTAGCGTCTCATATTGTTGACATAAGATGATGTTTTCTGCCTGTGAAAGTTCTTTATACTACTTTTTCTTCACAGTAAGTAAGAGAGAAAGTTTGACGTTTTTCATTTTATGCAAATATATTGTTTTTGCTTGTAGGTGCCTACCATGGCTATAGAGAAGGTGTTTATCTATAACAACACATCCATCGTCCAGGATGAAGTCCTGGCCCACAGATTAGGCCTCATCCCCATCAAAGCTGACCCTCGCCTGTTTGAGTACAGGAACACTGGTAAAACAACACCGTGAAGCACTCACACACATGGCAGTAGACCGCAAAGCTCCCATTTTACTCTGATGCGTCAGCTAACAGCATCTCAGTAGGTTTGGGGTTGGATTGCATTTTGTTCAATTATAATGCCATATTGGATCTGCCTATCAAATCTGAATCCCTTCTTATCCCCTGTGGAGTAACACTGACAAGTAACTAAGGATTTATAACAACCTAAAATCAAAGATTCAGTTTAAATCTGTAATCAGCTTTGTTAGCTGAGAATGCAGAAACCCATTTCTTTTCTCAGTCTAATCAACGTTAACAACCTGAAGCTCCAACCTGAAAATGAGCAGCATATGTATATAGATCAAAGAAATAACAGCGGTAACCTACCTTGAATTGATACGCTTGACGTATATTAATATAATATACATTAAGGTTTACGTGATCAGCTGGTCGTTTCATGGGAGACTCATCCCTCAGTGTAAAAATGCACAGTATACTCTCAGTCATTTTCAATTTTATTTCAGGTCTTTCAAAATATGTACATCAACAGTGCATGATACATTTTATTTTTCCAACCAGCCCATACCTCTATCCAGACCACTTAGAAATGATCCCAAAATCTTAAATGTTTCACCAGAGCCAGTTCTATAATAGCAATTTTTTGTTATGTGTGTCCTCCTGTTATGAGCAGGCAGACAAGCACACTTTGAGGATGAGTCTTTTGGCCATGATGGCCCAAATATAAGAGTTTTTCTCTACATTGAAAGGTAGAAGAAGCACATCTTAGGGGCATAAAATAAAGCTGAACCAGCACATCTCTGTTGCCACCTCAGCCAACATTTAAAGGTATAAGATTAACAAAGCTGTTGCTTTTGCACTTCATTGAAGCTAAATTATGCTTACACTGTAAACTCCAAACTAAAGGTGCCATATGTGTGGACGTCCATCAAATTGAAAAATTCTAATATCTTATGCATAAATATTATACATATTGCTTTCAAGCCTGGCCTCACAGTCCGTGGGTGCAAACTGAGTTTGTACCCATCAGTGAACGCAGTAGAGTTGAATGTATTCTGTTATGCTTTGTTTATTCCAGGCGAAGAGTCTGCAGAGGAAGAAGGTTCAGAAATAGACACAATTCAACTGCAGCTGAAGATTAAATGCAGCAGGAACCCCAAAGCCAGCAAAGACTCCTCTGACCCACGAGAGCTGTATCTGAACCACATGGGTAGGTCTCAGATGACACCAAATGTAGGCCTGCTGGTATTGTTTGCAGATACAGACGTAGGGGACTTTCACACCTACCTGGTTTGGTCCGGACTTTTCAGTTTAAACCGAACAAAAATTACAGTTGTGAAACCACCACTGGACCACGGTTCGGACGAAATATGGTCCGACGAAAAAAGGTAGTCTCGTTCTGGATCAAACTGTTTCTAGTGTGAAAGCATTTTTTGGATGGTTCAGACTTTCAGACCATCTAAAGGAAGTTCGTCAGCTCCTGTGTAAACCGGAAATGAAACAAATACACAGAGAAATGCACTGAAATAAGGACACAATTATAAATCTCCTGTGACAGCTCATCTTTTGAAACCGACGGCCACTATGAAAGCAGGCTGCCACTCTCATCTTTAGTCTATCCTCAAACGGAGGTGCTGAAGGATTGCTTGCTGTCTTCTCCTTTCCTGCCGGCGATGATATAACATTCGCACGACGATTAAGTTTATTTGGCAAATTTGAACTAGCCTCAAGTTACGTTGGTGCTGCAGGTAGTAATGCCATAATAATAATATAGTGGCAATGATATGCATCTGTTCTTCCCTCATTCATTCATTCTTGCTAATTGCGTGTGAAACCAAACCAAAGCTAACCGAATGTATCAAAACCTTAACTTTGGTTTGAGCCTTTGTGCAGACTTTCGGATATGAAAGCCCTGAAATAGCAGCTCGCCTGTGACCAGGACATACACACACGAGTGACAGTTGAAAATAATCAGTTAAGGGAAGGGAAGGCACGGATATTTAAGTAAGAAATAATATCCATGTGTAAAATCAAACGTTCATGTTAACATGGCATTGTTGTTTTCTCTTCTGTGCTGTCTCGTCTCAGTTTATTCCCGGGACATAAAGTGGGTTCCCATTGGGAACCAGGCAGACGTGTTTGCAGACTCCAGCATCGGACCAGTACATGATGACATCCTGATAGCTCAGCTCCGACCGGGACAGGAGCTGGACATTGTCATGCACTGTGTCAAAGGAATTGGTAGGAGCTTTTAAGTGTCTGGATCAGAGCCTAGCCAGCTCAGTGCAGAGGGTACAAATATGGGAAAGGAACAAGGTCATTTTAAGTACATTTTTGGCAAGCAAGGTAGTGTGATCCAAAACATAGCTGGTTCAGCTTGTATCTGTGGCTAAACATAGGCAGAAACACTTGAACCGGCTTTGCGACCTAGACAGGAGCAAGATTAATTTGTAACAAATTTACTTTCGTACATAAATTTTTAACTGTTCACTGTCTCTGCATCACAGTAAGAATGAAGCGTTCAGGAGCAGGCTGTTTTGTGGGAGTTTTGTCACTTTGCAATCCTATTAAATGCACAAAAAAGATATATAACACAATAAAGGAAAGGGAAAAAGCAGAAAAATATATATTTTTTAAATATCTATGAAAGTTATATAACTAATTTCATTGGGAAACTTTTTTTACTTCATACTTCAACACAGCTTTCACACTACCTGTACTTGGAGCATGTAATCAGTCCAAACACCCCAATATTTTATAGTCAGCATTTTCTGCTGCCTAATGTAGCAGCGTGTGCTCCGTTCTCTGTTCAGGTAAGGACCATGCTAAGTTCTCTCCAGTGGCCACAGCCAGCTACCGCCTCCTCCCAGAGATCACCCTGCTGGAGCCAGTGGAAGGAGAGAAGGCAGAGCGTTTAAAGCGCTGCTTCTCACGAGGAGTGATCGACCTGGAAGATGTCAACGGTAGGAAAGAACTAATCTGAAATACAAACTAAATGCAATAAGTGTTAGTCTGAGGACAGTATTCTGCAAGCGTGCATGCATAAAGTTAATTCCACACATTGCCCAGTTATACATATATTATAAGTATAAGTATATTAAGGGAGGGTCCAGTGACTTAGGAATTATAGAAAACAACAGGACAATAATCATGAACTCTCATTAGTTTAATCGTTTATATGACATCGATTTCTGCTATACAGACCAACGGTCTCCAAGCAAGAACAGAAAGATGTTAGAGAGCAGAGTTGTTGAAGCCTTTGAGTCTGCAGTGAGTCTCTACGTTCTGTAAATCTGTTGTCCTGTTTTGTCCACCTCAGGGAGAAAGGTTGCAAAAGTAGTGAACAGTCGCCTGGACACGTGCAGCAGGGAAGTCCTCCGACATGATGACCTGAAGAATGTGGTGAAACTCGGAAGGCTGCGAGACCATTTCATCTGTACGTTCGTATACCTTGTTCATTATAAATGCCAGTGCAAACTGCTTTAAAGACGGCTGCGGCTCAGGAGACAGAGCGGGTTGCCTGCTAATTGGAAGGTTGACGGTTCAATACCCGGTTCCTCCAGGCTGCATGTCAAGTATCCATGGGCAAGATACTGAACCCCACCAGTGTATGAAAGTGTGTGAATGGTGAATGCGAGGTAGTGTAAAAGCGCTTTGAGTGGTCGAAAAGGAGCATTTAAATGTAAACAATAATGACAGTCAGGGGTCACCTTAAAGGAATAGTTTGAAGTACACTTAATCTCCTTTTTGCCGAGAGTGAAGTGAGGATATTAGTACCACTCTCCATGAGACTGCTTAGCACAAAGACTAGAAACAGGGAAGCAGCTAGCCTGGCTCTGCCTGAAGAGAACAAAATCCCTCCCAGCACCTCTAAATATCACTAAAGAACATGTCATCTTGCATTTAATCCATACAAAGACCAAAGTGTAGAAAGGACAAATCTTTTATGTGGTGGTTATGTGCTGGACTATTTCTTGCCATGCTAACAGCAACTTCAGGAAGTCATTGCTCCCAAATGGTGTGGCTAGTTGTAAGATAGCTCTTTGAAATAACAGCTGGTGCTCTTAAAACCACAAATGACTTGTTTTCTACAACCTCACCGTCAACAAGATAAGAAGAAATCAATATTAATGTCTTCATATTTCTTTGGCTTGTTCCTTTTGTGGTGAAATAGGAATGTAAATGCATGTCCATACAACAGTTTTTATTACTTTAGTTATACTGTATATCAGTTGATGGGCTCTTTTCTCATACAGTTACTGTGGAGTCGACTGGCATCCTGCCTCCAGATGTCCTGGTCACAGAAGCCATCAAAGTCCTCATGACCAAGTGTCAGAGGTTTCTCAATGAACTGGACTCTACTGACATGGAGTGAAATAATGACTGAGCGTGCACAGACCCAGAGAGGCTCTGACACTGAAATATGCTACAGCTCTATTCGCTCTGTTGGAACTTGGCTGTATTGACACAACCAATTTTCAAAAAGTAGATTTTGTTATGGTTGCTTGTAAGTATGTATATACTGTTGTCTCTAGTATTTTGTATGTCGTTCTGGAGTTACTGCAGCTTAGTTTCCCTTAAATAAACATGCTGAATTTCATTAAAACATCACAAACAATATTCACATGGCTGCTTCTTTGTCTGCTGCCAACATTCTGTCAGATGTTCATACATTAAAGCACCACTAATACTGCACTTATTTATAAAAATATAATATTAATGCAGTGTATGACATACACTGGAGGCATGGACACAATTCCTTCACAAGATAGTCCCTCTTTTATATATAACCCCTTAATTTAATCACAACATCTCCATGAGATCCAGAGAGACCTGAGAACAGCAGGCAAAAAGAAACAAACACAGCCAGGCAGAACAAAAGGACATATAGCTTCAAAGGAAGCCACCAAAGTCGCGAAAGATATGAAGATTACAGTTTATATTCTATCATTTGGTCTCATGAAGATGGTGGTGGAGAGCATTGTCTTACACGCTGCTCCAAAATCTTCCATAGGGGTGAAACTGGGTTGAGATCTGTTTACTAAAGGCTCTAGCATTTTATTCACATCATTTTCAACTTTTCAGGTAGCCCCGCTGCACGGAGCATCTGTGTTTGATATTTCTCTACTCTTTCATTCAGCTTCTTCCTTTTAATTGGTGCTGTCTTTGTGTACAGTATTATACTCAGGGTTGGGGAGTAACAGATTACATGTAACGGCGTTATGTAATCAGGATACAAAAATAAAGTAACTGTATTCCATTACAGTACAGAAAAAAAGACGTAATCAGATTACAGGTACAGTTTGTAAAAACGGGGATTACACATACACGTAATGGCAGCTAGATAGCAGCAGTTAGCTGATTTGCTACAGCAACAAGTAACGTCTGGTAGTAGGACAGCAGAAACTTCTGTATCTCTTCCCAGAAGGCAGCAGGGTTTCTGTAAAAATCCACTGAGCAGCCAAAGCATCTTTGATACTCTCGTCTTTATTTGCGTATTTGGTGTTGAAGTAATCCAAAGCAAGTAATCAGGTTACATCAATTTTATTTTGTGGTATTTGGATTACGTTACTGATTACATTTTTTAACAAGTAATTTGTAATTGTACTGCATTACATTTTTAAAGTAATCCTCCCAACCCTGATTATACTGGATTTACTGCTTTAGAACCCACTTGGCATATCAGCTGTGCCGACATCTGCCGATATTTGTTCATCACAGATTTGGTATATCAGTGTATATGTTGGCTGCAGCACAGAAATGCTTGGCATATTTAAAGACAGTGACCTGACCTCGGAGGTAGCCCTGCAAATTATTTGTTTTTTCAGTTGTTGTTTTTTTAGCGCCAAATCATAACAGAAGTTATCTCATTGCACTTTTCATATAAAGCATGTCTCTCTATACTCTTTATGGTATCATGCTGACAATGACCAGATTGAAGGAAAGACACATCCAGTACCCACAATGATGCTTGATTTCATGCTTGATAACAGGCATACATCTAAGTAAAAACACATACTGCAACATGAACGATTGCATCTTTTAAAGCATTTGTGGCCTGGAAGCTACAACCCATGCAGATTTGTACTATATCTAGATGAATGAGACACAATATGAGTGACAAATTATTACCCAGAAGCCCAAGATCTGATATGATCATTTTTTGTGGTTTCTTTGAGAGTGAGTGCAGTACAGTGAGTTTGATAGACTCTGGGAAATCTTCAATGATGACATTTTTGTTCAGCTAAGAATATCCAGTCTATATTTGCACCAAGGAAACTTGATAGTAATAGGTCTGGGCCTGATAGCAGACTGTAAAAACCATCCTGATGTATGAGCCCTCTCCTGCTCAATATTTCAAGGTTCAGTTATTAGCTTCTTACAGCAGCTTTTTCACCTTGACTTCTGTGTCAGACCAGGTTTCACTGTCAAAGTGCTGGATGCCATCAATGATCACAGTGCCAATTTCTAATAACTCGCACTTTAAGTTTAAAAGTTGTAACATACACATTTATTAATGCTAATACATCATTTACTAATGTTTTATATTTCACTTTTAAACTGATCAAAAGTAGAACCTTGTGGTTGCCAACTTATGAACAATTTCTCTGGCTGCTTAGCCAGGTCAGTAATAGTCAAATTTCAGGTCATAAGTTTCTCACTTTCTAATAAAGTTGTAAATGTCTGTAAGTCATTACTAAAGAGTTAATAAGCCATCAGCAAAACTTAGTAAGTGATCTGTGTCATAACCCGGCTCTTAAGTCATGACGGAAATACGGAGAGGGACTGAGGACTGCCAAAAACAAACATATTTATTACAGAAACTTAAACAAGCGTGTCAGTCAGTGATATCAGTGGTGAAAATGTGGATGAGTGAATAGTGTGAAGTTTTGATGAGTGTTTGATGAGTGTTGATGAGTGGTACCAAAACATACTATAATTCAAAACAGAAGACATGTTGCTGCTGCTGCTGGCAGGAGTGGGACCAGATCAGAGAGAGCGAGAGCAAAAGGGCCAGGGTATTTATCCTCCCAGAGCGTCTGGCCCAACTGGGCCTACGGGCACTGTTACAAGGATAAAAGGGAAAACAGTAAACTGCCCATCAAAACACAGTTAAACACCACACTAGACAGGGTCTGTAAATAAATCAGGGTTCTTATCTCAATCCAAGTATAAAGTTTTAACTATTAATAAGTTGTTAAAAAGTGTATTCTGGACCAGACGCCCTGCAGCTCTTTTACAGAAGGTCAGAGGTCAAATGTGCCTTTCGGAGGCATGATTTAGCAGTTCATGATGAACTGCTAAAGAAACCTGGCCACCAAAAAGTTGTTCCTATAAATGGCTTATAATTGATCTATTAGGTATTAATAATCCTCATTAATGACATTTTGTAAATTCTTTATAAACTGTGACTTATCATTATTAAGTGCATTAATGCATATAGACTGGCCTTTAAGACATTTCACTGTGTCCTTGAAGGAGAGAAAACCCTTACAGATTATTTCAACATCATTCTGTGCATCTTTTGTAGTACCTGTCCATGTTTTGCAGTGCTTTTTAAAATCATCAATCCTTTGGGTGAACTCCAAACTAACTGATGTACTTCTTTAAACAACTCACAACTCCTCTTATTGGGAGAATCAACAATGATTTAACACAACTGTATTTCCTACTGACCCGGCATTGTTTTATAAAAGTCATTTCAACATCAGCACATCTAGTAGTTCATGTACCACTGTGCTGTGGCAAGGGTTTCTTCTGATAAATTGTTTAAGTGCTGGCATGGCAGAAGCTTAGAGACCTAGAAAATTAAACAGCAAACACTGGCCTGAATCAAATTATTGTTTTCTCAGTTTGAACACCTGAGAAAATAGAGTGTGTTTTATTTCAGGAACTTCCTTAAGTTTGTAAAATAAAATATATGAATATATAAAATATTTTCCCCCCTTGCTTCTATCCATCTTCAGTATTTTCCTCCATAACACGCAGACCGTTTGTGCGTCAATTTAGTCTTAGAGATGTTTGTCCCAATCTTGTTCAACAATTTCTTGTACATCACTTGGGGAAAATGGTAAGGTAGCTTCCCTTTAAACGTCACTTCCGCCTCCTCCTTGGCAAAGCAAGATGGCGGCCGTCGTAGAGAGAGTTGATGGATGTGTTGGGTCCTTGGACTCGGACGCTGTGTCACCGAGACAGTCCACCCCTCCACCGGACCAGCCGCACCAGAACAACCCGCTGTTAGGACTGCCCATTGTGGCCATTGAGACTATTCTCAATTTTCTGTCTTACGATGAAATCAGCCTGCTGCGCTCGGTAAGGAGAACAAAAACAAGCCCAGTAGAAGGGGAACAAAGCTAACGTTAATGCTAGCCACATGCACAGCTTATCTTTGGACACTAGTTTCGTAACATCTTCGTAGAAATATGTCATGGATATTATTTAAAGCCTGTGTTTCATGTGTTTGTAGCCGTCTAATTGCACAAACGGGCCGCAGAGCTCGTTGTGCTGTTATCTAATTAGCAGGACAGCCTAGCTGAGCAGAGACTGGAAAACACGACACACCGCAAACACACCAGAAGATGAATGTTGACAGGAGAGAGGGAGAACTTACATGTTTTACTCCTGTATAGTTAGTCCTGCTCTACAGACACTGTCGGCTCCTTGTGGATATGTATTTTGGTGAGGCTAGCTGGACATCACTAACTGGTCAGTTTGCCCACTGGCTGTGCTTTTCACTGCAGCTCTGCCAACAGTGCCTTCGCTACATGCTGCCAACGTTACATGCATAGTTTGCTAAGTCTTTATACAAGGGCAGGTTTCAGCAGTTGTGTTCTTCTTTTTTTTTTTTTTTTTAACAGTTTTTTGATATGCAAAATTGTCAGCCTCAGTCTGTGCTTTTCGTTTAATCCTTGTTTTGCACGGGCAGATTAAGAGCGAAGGTACCCCACAGGCAGACTAAGCCCACTTCCTAACTACCTTTAAAGATACTTAGACAGAGATTCTTCCCTGACCTCTTTTGGCCCATGGTAACTGAGTGGGTCAAGGAATGCACATGCACCTTGTGAAAATGGGGAAAACTTGTTCACTGTACAGTGGGGTAATAGTTTTTCAGTGGGATAGGGATCTTCAAGACCACGGACAATGTAAATATAAATGAATAAGTGAAAACTGTAAAAGTGATGATACTAGAGGTACTGTCCTTTAACCAAACTGCTGGGGTAAGTAAGAACCCTTTGTAGGCAAATGTCGTCCCGCTGAAGTGGCTTTGAAAAAGATGCTAATCTCTACCGCTGTTTTTCGACCACTCAAAGCGCTTTTACACTACATCTGCATTCACCATTCACACACACTGACAGCGCTCAAACAGAAACAGTGTGTGAATTAACATTCACACACTGTGAATTAACATTCACACACTGGTGGAACAGCCACCGGGGCAATTCGGGGTTCAGTGTCTTGCCCAAGGACAATTAGACACGCAGCCTGAAGGAGCCGGGGATTGAACCGGCAACCTTCCGATTAACGGCCACCTCCTGAGCCACAGCCACCCCAGTACATAAGTAAATATTCATAAAACAGAGTACCTGTTGTTTACTTGTTTTCTCTTGTACGTGTTCTCC